GGTAATATTCTACCTACTCTTTTAGAATTCCGTTTTTAGTCGAATACTATGTGCAATAGATATAGCAATGGAAAATCTACTAGATAGAAAATTGTTTTATTTCGAAAAAACTCCAGCATCACTAAAGACAAATGCAAAATTCATTGCATGTAAAATCTGTGATGGAATAATAGATCGTCACTGGAAGGCAACCAAGTTATTTCTCCGTGAAAGCATCTGTTGACCTTAAATTTGATGTGGTGATAGACTAAGTAATAAACGAACTACAAAAAAAATATTTTGATTTAAAAAGGATTGTTCTTGAAGGATTTTTTCATTTTCAGACGATTATTTAACTTTAATGCTAATTGCTATTCCATATTCCTTTATTATATCGTACTTTGTTGTGGACTATGCAACTAAAAGTTTTGTTAATTTTTAATATATTGTGTTATAGTCATCAGAATGCTTTATCTATGACATATAATTGTTCGTAATTAAAACAGCAAAGCGTTTGTGTAGATTATAGCTGTTACAATCTTTCGTCTTTCTTGCTCCAGTGTTCTGTCTTTCTCCCATGCTTTTAGTTGCATAGCATCACTATGTGAATTTTGAGGTCTATGAAAATCCATAGACTCTCTAATAGAGGCGTCGGCTTAACATTAGTGTTAAGAAACCGCTAACCCTTTTCTATTAGAATTAAAAAATAATTTAATGCTTTGGCATTAGTGTTAATTTTGTGTTAGGAAAATGCTAATATCCATCATGATCATGCAATTTGTTTATTGATCTATTATTGTAGTTTTCCCATCAGCTTCTCTATAGTCGAATTTTTTTTTGTAACATTTATATACAGAAAAAATATCGTTTATGCACTAGGGTGAAATATATGTAAATTTATAGTTTTTCAGAAACTATAAATACTTTTAGCAGATATCGATATTGTGAAAGGAAAACTCATTTGAAGGGTCATCTAGAGAGAATTAATCGTATATCATCTGACTTTCATATGTTAGATGTCAAAATGACTAAATATTTTTCAATGAAACATGCAAAAGATCATTTTTTTTTCATTATCATGATTATTATTCTGTAGATGTTTACTTAGTATGTGCTGCTCCTAAGCCTCTCCACAGTTATAGAGCACAAAAAAGTTCATTTCGATAAGATCACTTCATCATGTCTGATGTTCTGAAGTAAATATTTGATATGAGAAATTAATTAAAGAGATGTTTCATCAGTTTATTGAACTGCTAAGTATATGAGTGCATCTACTTATCAGTGTTTAAATAATCAACAACAACTATATAAAACACATATGATAGATAAAATTTTAATAAAGACTAAAACAAAATCAGCATCCAGTCTATTGTTATTGTTGATGAACTAATGGTCGAAGTTTTTCGATATTGTTTTCTTTTTTAAGATCATTACTCTTCGCAATGATAATGATGACATGGATGTTCGTCGTATATTCTTGGTTGCACCGGCAACACTGAATGCTTGTTCCAAATAGACACATGTTGCTGGAATCACGTTGTACCAACGTGGAAAGTAACTTAAACGTGATATGCATCGGCATTGTTTTTCCAAAATGTTTGAAAATTTATCAATTCATGATATCGAATTAAATTAAGAAAGGCCGCCATTTCGAGGTCCACGCTTATAGGTTGCAATGGCAAAGGTGGAGAAGCTTTTTTGTTGGCTGTATTCATAAGATTGGATTTGAGAAACATCATACGAGCAGAATTGATGTGAGTGTATGCGCTGCCTTTTCATGCACAACAAGATACAATATCACACCCTCAACAATGACAATTGACTGGATGCTGGTTTTGTTTTAGTCTTTATTAAAATTTTATCTATCATATATATTTTATATAGTCGTTGTTGATTATTTTAATACTGATAAGTAGATGCATCCATATACTTAACAGCTGAAGAAACTGATGAAACATCTCTTTAATTAATTTCTCATATCAAATATTTACTTCAGAACATCAGACATGATGAAGTGATCTTATCGAAATGAATTTTTTTGTGCTCTATAACTGTGGAGAAGCTTAGAAACAGCACATACTAAGTAAACATCTACAGAATAATAATCATGATAATGAAAAAAAAATGATTTTTTGCATGTTTCATTGAAAAATATTTAGTCATTTTGACATCTAACATATGAAAGTCAGATGGTATACGATTAATTCTCTCTAGATGACCCTTCGAATGAGTTTTCCTTTCACAATATCGATATCTGATAAAAGTATTTATGCAAGAATCTGGAATTTCGTCAATAAGACTCTCGCCAATAACTGGCGAAAGTCATGTGGGCCTGCGCCAGTAATGGTGAAAGTCAAATGGACAGTCGCCAATGTTGACGATAGCCGACTCGAGCAATTTACTAATGTTATGCTCGGATATGATATCATCATGTAAAAATACATTTAATGAAAATGTATTTGTCGAAAGTGAAGTAACGAAAGCGGAAGGACAAGTTAGTAAAACACGTTGCAAAAATAAAATAGCGAAAGGAAATAAACTAGGAACAGGCTAAAGATAATGATCTAAATACGATCTGCCAATAACCTTCACAATAAAAGTGGAAGCCTTCTTTTTCTTTTTTTCCTCCAGCAATAAGGCAACCAAAGAATAAGCGAATAATGATTCGAATTGTGTGCATGGTTAATCGGTCATTGTTTGATTTGCTGAGTGTGTTGATAGTCTATCTACCTAAAGTAGACGCATTAAAGCACGCGTTGTGACATGCATTGAGTAATCTACAAAATATCTGAGTCAAACATATACTAACGGCGAATGCTAGTTTATTCAACTATCCATTGAAGACTACTGTGTGCTCGCTAAAATAGTAAAATCGTAGAAATAGAAACAGCATTGACAAGATACAATATCATATATGAGCATTCTCTGCTCAACTAACTGACAATGATGTGGAATTTTGCCATTATTGACGACTTTCCACTTGACTTTGACCAATTGGCGAAAGTCCACCTGACTTTCGGAAATGGCGAAAGTCATATTGGTGAACATCTTGCTATTAATTTATGCCCTCTGAGGAACTATATATGTATATGTATTTCATCCGAGTGCATACACGATATTTTTTCTGTATATAAATGTTACAAAAAAACTTCGACTATAGAGAAGCTGGTGGAAAAACTACAACGATAGATCTATAAACAAGTCCCATGATCATGATAGGTATTAGAATTTTCTTAATACAAAATTAATACTAATGCAAAAGCATTAACTTAATTTTTTAATTCTAATACAAAAGCATTAAAAAAAGTATTAATTAATGGAATGCTAATGCTAATCGGACACTCCTACTCTCTAAACTCAAAATCGTTGAAAGTTCTGTGAAACCAAAAAGAAGTTCATTAAATAGAGCAGAATTTCAGAAGTATAATTGCTCTGAGGAATTGCGATTATTGCTGAAACTCTAATATTACAAAAAAACCGAACATTCAGTTTTATTAGATCTTTATTATAATATTGGTTCATAAGATTATTCATGGAGTTACGCGAAAGATTTCATGAGGTTTCGAGTCACTTTACTCGACTCTTCTATTCCAAAACTTTGCCACGTTGATTGAAGCCCGATGCAATCCATTGATTTGCTTGAATGTATGTATTCTATGCTAGACTTTTACGAGCAAACTCAAACTTTCACCCTATTTTCGAAAACGCCGTAACCAAAGGGTTAATAATCTTAGCAAACTAAAAATAGCTCTCAAATAATTCATGTCTACTTAATCTGCTAATGCGTCGAAATATAGCTTGAGAATTTTAGATTATCGTACTATAGTATTTCGCTATCAAATTATTGAATTTTAGAAAGGATCGAAACATAGAGAAAATAATTTCGTTTTAAAATAGATTTTATATTTATTTGAATTTCTTTTCTTTTTTCACACTAATAGTAGAATGTTTTCAAAAGAAAGGCATTTTAATTTAGTAGCTTTTTTCCAACTCTATCGTGCCAAAAGGAATTAACTCAAACAATCAATGTTATGAGCTCAGGAATTACATTTTCTAAGGAGACATTTGTTTTCGAGAATCCTGTATATAAACAAAATCACCAAATATTGAAATATATTTAAGCAATTCCAGCTGGATATTCCTATTTGGCAACATCGATCCAATATTGCATGAAGAGTTAACTGCTGGTGATGATAGATTATGTTTTGTCAATTCAGTAATGACTTTAACATATTTCAGCACATGTTCATGATAAATCGGACAAAAGAGTCCATTCATTTATAAGATGACTGAATTTACCAACAATTGTCCAAAGTAGTAATCGAATCGTAAGAATCTTCTTCTTGTACGTCTAAGTATTCATTGTCCGAGATTGTTAGTGGTTAATTTTTGTTCTTAGATCTATTCTGCATTGCATTAGTAAGATGGGTAACTCAATGCATTCGAATAATAAAAATTAGAAATGTTGTAGTTTGACAACATCCTGAAAAATGGAACAATACTTTCTCAAACTGCTTTTCATCCGTAATCGTCAAATCAAGGTATACTGTCATATTCTATTGGTACTACATCTATCATTGATAAATGGAAGGCACTCTCCCCGTCTATATCCTGATTATAATATGTAAAACCAAAAGTATTTTTCAATGGTAATATAATATTTTAAAATAAAATTAATTATTGAAAAAAATGCAAGTGTATTTTGCAAAAAGTTGGATGCTGCTTTGAAAAGTAAGGTTGTGAACGTGTATCTTCTCTTGATGAACATGTACTCACACATTTACAGACATCTACATCACTGAACTGAAAGCCTTCAAAAAATGGAACTTACATGAAGTACAGATCAGTTTTTGTCCAAAAAACAAATTTTTGCTAAAAAAACAGCTATTTGACTTAGGTTTTTTTGCTGATTTTGAATATGGCATTTGTTTTGCGTAGAAATGAAGCATTATTGGTAAAAATCGTTGGATACAGACAAAATTATTGTAGTGTTTTGCTGGTAAAAGAAAAATATATCATTTCTCAATAATGAAATAATAGTTCCAAAAAGCGATACATACGTGGGTTGCTCCTTCCAAGAACATTTTTATGACATATCAAACGTGATTTCAAACTTTGTCAAAAACAATTAGATCGGCTCACGAGCTATACTAGTGACATGAGCATATCGTGCGCTCGAGTCTAATCTTAACATCAATCACATTTTTTTTTTCGAACGCGATAAAAAGAATGAACTCTTAATTCTCAGCAATAAGCCGATGCTTTATAAAACAGGGGTGCTTTCGTTCGTTGATTTTATTTCTTATATAAAGGTTTTGAAACAAATTTCAAATAATTATATTTCATTATGCGGGTTGATGAGCTCTATCCGCCTATATAAAAGCCAAACAAAAAAATTGCTCAAATTTTGAATATGTCTCACTTTACAGACATGACAAGGAATAATTAAAGCAGCAAAGAATTTGAATTCTTCAGAAGTCGCTCTATTTTGTTACTAAACGATCCATCATGAACTCCTGTATCAAGCAAAAATGTGAATCGAGGGACATTGAGAACGGCTCAAAAATGGCCCTCATGCATTTCTGTCCTTTTTTTTATGAAAGTCAATAAATGCATACTAGTTGATATTTTACATAAATATTAATATTATTTGATAAGAAAAATCACAGAATCAAAAAGCTTGAAGATGATTAGATTAGTATTAAAAAAAAGAAACGTTTGCATTATTATAAATAAGTATAAATAAAATATATAATCAGTAAACTATTTTGAAACTTTATCTAACATTTTCAATATTTTTTTCATATCGATCATTGTATTGTTTATATTTATGTTCATCTTAGCAAGTTTCTCGTCCATCTTATTCATTTTAACTTTCATTATCTTCAATTGCTGTGTAACATTCTGTGTTTTAGCACTTGTGTTACGTTGTATAGCGAGTAGATCGATTTAATCAACACAATGATCAACTAGTTGTCCTTGCTGATGTTTAATTTTATGAAGTAAATGTATTGAGTGATAAAGTCGTCGTTGTGCTTGAAGATATCGAATAGATTATGCAGATACATTTTTCTTTTTCATGCACCAAACTTTTAATGCAAATTTAATCATATTTGCTGCATTTAGTTTACATTCTTTTGCTAATTCAACATTCAATACAAAATTATTCACATATTTCTCCCATCGATTCATTACAAGTTTTTGTGCAAGAACACTGATAAGAAGAGCAGTTGAAAGAACACCAACCAAAGCAATTATAGCAGCAATAGCTAATAACGAAAAAACAATCAAAGTTTTATTCATATATGACAAATGAAAAGACTTTTTTTTCATGAATTATTATTTTATTAACTTCGCCCACAGTATGTAGAAGGTGTAAAATCTCCATAGCCAACAGTAGTAAATGTTATAATGAATAGCCACATAGCATTTTGCATTGTTAAATGTTCATTGGTTGATGAGTAAGAACATGCATGTAAAGACCAACTTCCAATAAGGAAGACAATTATACAAAATGTCGTTAAATAAACTACTGGCCATTGTTCAAGATAAGTTTTGGTGAGAAAGAAGTAATCAATGGATACTCTATTAAGATAACCGACAGATCGTGATGACGTATCACGAAATAGATGAGAATGAAACATAATAAAACGCCAAAGCAAATATAGACGAAGAAAAACTATGAAGGCAGTTAGTTTTCAATTTGATGAAGAAAAATAGAACATTGATACTTACTTCGTAAACCAAGTGCGGCATCAACAGATGCATAAGACAAAGAATAAGGAGTAATTGTGAAATCATCTGAGCTTATATCTTCTGATGATGCATTTGAATGACGAGGAAAAGAGCAAAGCATTGGATATACAGCGCAAATTGTTATTTCAAGTAGAACGATGAATATTGTTCAATACGTTATTACAACACGAAAACCTTCAATTGAATTATTAACAGCATAGAGAGAGATATCTAAACGATGATATTCGATGACAAATCCAATAAGAATGACCGTTTATAAGCTAATAACTAGTTTGATGAAACAACTTACTACGATATCGTGATTATCGGTATAGTAAAATGTTAACTCATTTTCAATAATCATTAGAATAACTCCCAACGTACCAAGAATAAACATAATATTAGTCACGATAGTACTAGAATAAAGAAAAAAATAGTAAAAAAACGAACATACATATATCATACAGTCGTTGGTGCAAGTTTTTTGCATTTGGTTAATCGACGATTGAGCTTATAGAATTCTATATGTCCGACACTCTTATATCTGTTAAAAGTTTTAATATGAGTTTCTTTGTCGCTAGAAATATTTGCATCCATAGTAATAGTCGTTGTTGAAGGTAATGGAACTGTACTCACTGAGTCGCTCTGTTGAATAGCTAATGAAGAGTCATCATTGATGAGATTAGTCAAATCTAAACAAGTATCTTCTTTAGTAGCCATCTTATATTTAGCTGAAACCAGTAAATACATTTACTAAGACTACAATAGATAACAACAATAAATTTGTTACTGTATTGTATGAATATCTAAGTCTTTTGTTTAAATAAAATTGAACAGATCTAAAGAGTAATCAAAAATGTAACGTGTAGATGATTCATAGAAGTACTTTCTATTCGTAGTCTTATTCTATTATGAAAATATTTTATTGATAGAGAATGAAAATTTGTTTATCTCATAATTTTTCAACAACTATTCTAGATTGTTTTTCACAAAAACTGATTTCAATTGTTTTGAATAATAAAGTTTACACAAATCAGAAGATATTTGCTCAAATTCGATCTTTATAACAGTCATTTACTATCCACAATAATGATACTTTTGTTCACACTAATTACATTATCCTATGTGGACATAATCGTTGATTATTTATTTTTTAGGTAGATAATTACTTTCTCGAACTTTTATTCATCAATACAAATAAGCCAGGACGCGATAGCATCAATGTAATTGAGAAAAAATAACATTTTTATGTGAATCATACGGCATATAATTTAATTAATTACGAAGAGAGATTAAAAAACAATGATGCATTGTGTTTTCAAATGTACCATACCGGATAAAATAAAAAGAAAACAAAATTACATCGCTTGTTTCTATCTTATTATGTCTAAGGTGTACGGTAATAACATAGATTTATCTTAAACTTGTAGCATTGACAAAATTTCTTTCTTGAAATAAACTCAACAAACCTATTCACAAAATCTATGACTATTCAAAGTTATTCTTTAGGAGAAAATGCCTAGTTTCATTGTTCTTGTGTCGAACAAATTTGATTGGAAACCAATTCCAAAGCAGAAAAAAGTTTTTTGAACAGCTGAATTCCAAGAGTTGAGCTAAATCAAGCTTTAAATATAACACATAATTTCTTTTATATATTGCATTAAAAGTATTCTTTAGAAATTATTGACTTTATAAAAATTTTGATAAATATCACTTATATTGATGAATTGAAAGAATCCGTATGTTTGTATTTATATTTCAGGAAAAATTATAGCTTTTTTATTACCTATTCTTGAACGACTTCTTTATAAACTTTATAAAACTGCACCTTCTACACGAATACTTGTTTTGGCACTAACACGAGAACCATGTGTTCAAATTCATCAAGTTTTTCGTCAATTAACTCAATTTACTCATAGTATAATTATCTGTCTTTCAACTAGTATATTCTTAATTTTTTTATCTTTTCATATTTATATGCATATTTCATTTGAATTATTATTAGGTGGTTTGGATTTTAAATCTCAAGAAGCAATATTATGTTGAAAACTTGATATTATTCTTGCAATATCAGAACACTTAATGAATCATATACATAATTTACCATCATTTAATTAACAAAACATTGAAAACATTAGTTTTTGATGAGACTGATCGATAAGTAAATAATTTCATTTGTTTAATCAACAAACTTAGTTCTTTAAAATGTTAGATGAATATTATTTTGAACAAATGGAAAAATTTATTAATAATTGTTCACGTACACATCAAAACAATGCTTTTTTTTTCAGCTAAAATGACTAATCAAGTATTTTTTATTAAATATTTTTTTCGTTTTATCTAGATCAAGAAGTTCGTTTATTGAATTAGATGATATAACACATGTCAGTTTAGTGAAAGGGAATGCAGTTCATTTAATAAAACAAAGCATACAGCATATGAAATAACGAACAATATAAACAGAATAGACAGAAAAGAACATAAATGCGTCTATATGTATATGTATGACGCATAACATATATATATTTACACATAATATGAAAAGATAGAAGGGAAAATACCACTATGATACGTTCTCTACAACTTGAAGGGAATAAATCCACATGTAATATATTAGTATGTGTCGAAAAATCCTTAACAAGTTAAAAGAAAGTAGAATATAAAATAGAGTGCGTGATAAAAACATTCAGACACTCAAAAGAACTATATTATATATCTTTTATTTTTATTTCTTTTATTATTATTATTCTTTTTCTCTCCTTTTCTCACTTTGTACTGTCAGGATCTTTACGATCACAGATTGCAAAAAAAAAAAAAAAAAAAAAAGAAAAAAGAACTATAATATATTTGTCACGTTCTATTCAATAGTGTTTCATATACCGTGAAGTTGAGCTCAAACAGAACGCAAAAAAAGGAGAAGAAGAAAAAATGAATCATTCTGACTCAAATATATCGAAATGGTTATTTGTTTTTCAAGGATAATATTTTCTTTTCGTCACATTCAGGTAATATTAATAAATTTATCATACAAAAGAATATACTTGCTTTGTTAATGATGACGACAACAATAACAACAGAAATCTCGGAAATTGATCATAAAGTTTCATCAGAACAATATCGACTTCAAACATTTGAAAAGTAATTATTTTTATTATGAAAAATGAATTCTTTTTTTTTTTTGTTATTGTTGAATAATGCCTTTTGCTTGTTCTTTTTTTGTAGTCTAACATATTTTCCATCAATAACACGTCGTCAATTAGCTCTTGCTGGTTTTATTTATCGAAATAATAAATGTGTATGTCCACAATGTGGTGTTTGTATAAATCTTGAAGCGATCGATGAAGATTGTGAATATACTTCAAATTATTTTCGAAAATTACATCGACAAAAAGTTTCATGTCTTGGAAAACGTTGTTCTTTTTTATTATGTGAATCAGGTACAAATATTGATGATCTTCATCCACCATTATCATCTCAACAACAACCACAATGGGATGATGCTGAAGAACCTGAATATATGAATTATATAGCACGTCTTCAATCATTTGAATCATGGCCTGCATCACAAGAAGAAATTAATGGAACACAAGAAACATTTGTTACACCACAAACAATGGCTAAACATGGATTTTATTTTTCAGGTATTATTTATTTATTTTTTAGATAAGAATTTCTCATATTATTTTATTTTAGGATTTAATGATAGTGTAACATGTTTCTATTGTGGTAATACTTTAGTTGATTGGTCATCAGCAATACATTCTACAAATCCAAATATTGTTGAACTTGAACATGCACGTTTTTTTCCATGTCGTTTTATTATTTATACAGCTGGTGTCAAATTTGTTACTAATGCTGGATATTTTCAAAAAATTTCTGCTCAAGGTAAAACTAAATGACAATTATTAATTTTTAGAATTTTATTTTGATTATTTTTATAGAACGATCTAATCGTAATCCTATGATATCAAAGTCTCTAACTACATCTAAAAGTATTGAAAAAAAACCTCAAACAATTGATGAATGTTTAGCAACATTTGAAAAATGGCCTCGAAATGCTCCTATACCAGCTGAATCATTAGCTGCTGCTGGATTTTATTATTTAGGTGAAGAATTACGAGTTAAATGTTTTATGTGTGATCTTGAAGTTAATGATTGGCATTATGGTATGACTGCTATTAGTACACATCGTGAACTTAAAAGTGATTGTCAAGTACTACTTGCATTGGATAGTATTATAAGTAGTAATATAGATACAGTTAATGAAAAATGGCGTCTTGAAACACTTCTTAGTTTACCATTTAGTGAAACAAATACAAATGATCCTAATCAATATAAAAATGATCAACGTTTATGTTCTGAATTAGCTGCATGTGGTTTTTATCGTGTTAAAAATACAAAATTAATTCGTTGTGCATATTGTGATGTAACAATTGAACCAAAATTAGGTCAATCAATTATGTCACAACATCGTTATTTAACTAAACAATCAATTAAAAAAAAAACAACAACAACAATAACAAATAATCCACACAAAGGACCAATAGTTGATTGTCTTATAGTACGTGCACAATGTCCAGCTAATATTGTTATACCACATCGAAAAAGTTTTCCAGAATATCCAGAATATCAATCAATATTTGATCGTATTAAGTCATTTAATGATTCTAAACAACTACAACGAGCTGGCGATTATTCTATACGTGATAAAGCAGAAGCTGGATTTTTTCTTGATAGTAAGAATTATTATTAGTTTTTTTTTTAACATTATATGATTTTCTATAGAACAAGGACGTATGCGATGTTTTCTATGTGGTAATGCAATACTAATTAGTGATAAAATACGACGAGAAAAATATTCACAATATAATATGGCACAATTGCATGCTCATTTCTATCCGACATGTGAATGGGTCAAAGAAATACTAGGTGTTAAATATATTGCACAAGTGCTTTATGATCAAAAGACTTCATGGTCATCGTCTAATACCGAATGTACATATATATCCGATGGATTCGAAGACTTATCAGACGATGAAGACCTTGAAACCATAGCTAAACCACCTACTACCTTTGTTAGTAAAAATATTCCACTTTCACCATCACCAGCTCCATCAGCATCTCTACAGTCACCTTCTGTACCTGCATCACCAAATGAACCATTAACAACATTCGGAGCTGAAGATTGTTCAGATCCTGTCACTAGTAATGGTCATAGTCAACTGACATCGGCTATTATATCAAAGATAAATCCATTTGTACAAATTCAGCAAGAACAAACAAAGCTTCCACATACAGAAGACAGTGGCTCACCAGAAATATCATCTTCAATTGTACATGTGTCATCTATATCCTCGCCAGTTGACATACGCTCTGTACTCGCATATGAATCAAATCGTTTAGATACATTTACAGAACATAATCGTGAAACATTTGCACAAGTTCCTGTTGCCCATCTTGCTTATGTTGGATTTTTTTTAAATGCTGAAGGTACTGCTATTCAATGTCCATGGTGTGAAGTCTGTTTAACTGAAAAACAATATGAAGATATTGTGCGTACCAGACCAACTATTGTTGGTTCTGTGTTAAGTAATGAACCATGGACACCAATGCGTGTACATCGATATGCAAATGCAAAAATGATGAATCGAACTCGTCCATGGTGTACATGGGTTAGACGAGAAGTCGGTGGACTTTATTCAAATGTTAAAATGGTATGAAAGTTTCTTTTTTTTAAGATAAAACAAAAAAAAAAGCATACGTTGATTTTTTTCATAGTTAAAAAATCAATTGCTTTATCCAGAATATCCATCTTATTCAAGTATTGAAAAACGTATTAAATCATTTACATCTGATTGGAGTTATCCAAGCGGTACTCTTCTTTCAAATCAAATGATGGCCGAAGCTGGATTTTTCTATCTGGGTCAAGATACTGTTTGTTGTTATTATTGTGGTAATCTATTACAAGATTTTGAACCACGGTATATAAATAAAATTTGTTTTTGTTTTTCATTCCATCTAAATAATGATTAAATTTTCCTCTTTAATTCGATCTAGTGATTGTCCATTTGACGAACATGCAACATTTTATCCACGTTGTGATTTCATCCAAAACGTACGCGGTCCTGATTATGTCAATCAAATAATATCAGAATGCGAACGAAGTATATTCAATATATATTTATTATATTGAATTGTAATTTTGTTATTTTTAGTTCCACAAGGACGATTCAAAATTGAAGTACGTGGTGAACAAATAATCAAACGTATTATATATGATAAAAGTCGTAAGTTATTGACTTTTTTTTCTTTTTGTAAATTATCAAGATCTATAATATTTGTATCGAGACCTAGTGTACATATTATAGATATGTACAATAGACTTAAATATCAGTTAAATCTCAATGGTTAGAATAATAATCTTGAATTAAGAAATAAGAAAATGAAAAGTGAACAATATGTAGAACGCATCAATGAAAAGAATAAGATGCTCGAAAGTAATTTCTCATGATATCAGTTCTATAGAACTGGTCTGTGCAGTGTCTAGGCCTGTTGAAATAATTAATGACTGTTACATGTACACAGAAACTGGCTGTTGATGATAATCAGCTTTTTTCTATTAAGTTGATGATCGATCAGGCTAGTTTTCACATGCTACGTACTGGTATAAAAACATGGAAGAAAAAAATCCTGACCTCTAAGAAAAACATTAAAGATACTATTCTAGAGACATCGTTTGATGCGTTGTTTTGTTTATTATTTAGTATATTACGTTCAAAAAAAGTGCAATCTGTATGAAACTAATATGATCTTCTGAATCCGCTATTAAAACTTAGCAGATTTGTTTTAGTTTCAAATATTTTCATGAACGTTTTTATTTTTTCGTGGAAAAATTATTTCAACAGTCACAATCAAGTTTTAAAATTTTGAAAACATAGTCGAAATCAAAATAGCTGATAATTAAAAAATAAAACATGTATTTTGACTAAATTCATTTTTTCAATCATTCTTCAAGAGGAGGGACTCAACAACGAATTCTTCGATGAGAAAAAAGAGTGCATGGAAATATTTGAAATTCAAATAAGTTCACTGAGTGTTGAATGCTGATGCAGAATATCATGTTAGTTTCACTTAGGTCTTGCTTTTTCTGATCTAAATATTCTAAATACTAGATCCAAAAAAAGCGCCTAAAATCATGTTTAGAGAATAGTATCTTTAAAATTTTTCTTAGAGGCTAGTGTCTTTTTGCTTGATGTTTTTATGTCATCACCTACACTATGCAACCATAGGAAAACTAGCTGGATCTGTTATTGAATGGATAGATAAACAAAGCTGATTGCTATCAATAGTCAAATTCAGTATACATATGACAATTATTCCCTGATTCATACGACCCACACAAAACATAAACAAATGATACAAAGCTAATTCAATCAAAAAATATTCTCAGATATTTTATGTGAGAGCTTGACATAAAAGAAGACAAATCGTTTTCCAGGCAATTTATTACCTTCAGAAAACAATTCTTATCTACTAGAGATTTTTCATTTAACGTACTTTGTATTAGTGTGATGAAATTAAAGAACACATTTGAGTTTCATATTTTAGCTCTCAAAGACGTTGCACTAACAACTTTTTTTCCTTTTTGAATTTAACTAAATTGTCTTTTTTTTCAGGTGCAACACAACGTAAAACTGGACGTGCACCAGTAAATCGAAAGTCTTTATTTCCATCTCGTTCATTCAGTTTAGATATCGCATCTTCTGAATTAACAGATGATGCTTGTCTTCTATGTGACGCAAATCCAGCTACACATGCATATGATCCTTGTCAACATTCTCCAATGTGTGAAGAATGTTCTGGTCGTTTAAATGAAGAACAACTTCGAAAATGTATAGTTTGTTCTCAACCAGCTACAATACGTTTGCGTGTACTAATTGAGCCACGTACCAGCTGATTTTTTTTTAAACCAAACTTTCTTTTTAATTGTTGTTTTACTTCATGTGTAATTGTATTATTATGAATACAAAAAAACGGAGAAACCTAAAGAACTTATTGTAAAAGTGATGGTTTATTTAAATAAACCTATATATTCTTTTTCAAATGGCTACTTCATCGATTGTAAATACAGTGAATAGTTCACTTAGATGGATTGTCTACATATGATACAAAAAAGTTTAAAACGTATTTAAAAAAAAACATTTGAACAAGATCAATAACGTGGAGAAAAATATTAAAAATCGCATCATAACAAATACAAATGTTAATGATGCTGTTCAATTAGCAGATATTGTTATTGAATCCATTATTGAAAATCTTGAAATAAAACAAAAATGATTTAAAAAAAAATTGATCAAGTTGCATCAACATATGTTTATAAATTTATTCTTGATATATTTTATACTTTCGAATGATTATTTATATTTTAGACAATTGAATTTCACAAGTAATACATCATCATTACCAATTCCTTGATATTGCTAACGACGTTTAATGAAACGATAAGTTTTGGTGACTTACATTTCTTTAATCCAGTGTTAGTTATAATGAAAAAAGAAAGTCTCTGTTTCTTTGCATTATCATAAATTTAGAGAAGTATAGATGTTCAAAAGAATTTTTGACTATGTATTCATACTTTTCAAAGAGTTTATGTTTTCTATTATTAAAATTATTTGATTTTTACTATCAACATTGATTCAAAACGTTAAAGAACGAGTACTGAAAACATTTAGTTTTTTGAATATATGAACGATTTCATGCAAAGCAGGACATACTGACATTTCATTTGATTTTCATCTGTTATCACGGTTTGTTTTTCTGAATAAGATCTTGTAACGTAAACATATTTAAACATGTTATCCCTTTTAGCTGTTTTGCACTTAAAATTAATTGACTAATGTTTGTCCAAAAATATAATGGTTACGGATATTTTTGAAAGAACTTAAAAACGAAAAGAGCTTCAGGGCTGTGATTTTGACAATTCAAGAGAGAAAACTCGAGCTTATTGACTTATATCGAAATCTGATTGATCAGCATTAACCAATCAAGTGAGTTCTTGATGGAGATTTTTTGAAAACAATATTCTGTAGTTATTCCTATTTCAATTTAGACTCATGGTAAAGCGAGTCGATAGAAAAGATTCTTCTCTTTCGATCAATGCGAAACCTAGATTTCTAACTAGATTCGTTCAAGAGTTGTAAAAATTTTACTGAGACTTCTGGTTTCAACTCCTTGAATTGTGATCGGTCTCTGCTATTTATTTCGGAAATATTTAGATAACAATGTCAGATATATATGAATCTTAAAGTAAATACCGCTATTCGACTCAGTATGGTGAATTATTCATGCCAAGCTGCTTTTCCGAGTGATTAAAGGTCTATTGGTTGAAATTGGGTGTATCAATAAAAGTCTTATAACTCTGAAACAGAACTATTTAGAAGTATCAACTTAGGTTAGATCGAAAGAGAAGAACTATATCTATGAATTAGTTCTAAGGAGAGTCTAAATTGAAATGGAAATAACTTGAGAATATCGTTTTCAGAAGCCTTCATCAAGATCTCGTCTGATTGATCAATTGCTGATCCATCCAATTTCGATATATTTCGATGACACTTAGTCTTCTCTCGTGAGTGGTGAAAACTGCAAGTTTCTATCTTGTTCCTAACAGAAATTATTCAAATAATGACAACTCGCCTTTCATTTTGTATTAGAGAATAGTTCATTAATTAAATTATTAAAAAGCAATTAGCAGACATCTCTCTAACCATACGGAAAAAATATCCAAAAACTTAAGCATGAACTCTAAAGCACGAACCATATATTTGATCCCATTTTCAGTAAGATCGGAGCACAAAAAAAATTTTCTCTTGAAAACCAGTTTTCAACAGACCTATCCACTTCCGAAACAAAACTTCATGTCTTGTCATTCGATTTCCTTTAATGCAATTGAAATTTAGTGGTTAAACCCGATACAAAATTGATTCAGAAATATTGACCGTCGAGCAATGCGTAGGTTTCGTTTCAAATCTGTCATTGAAGTAAAAAATGAAAATTGAAATGCCGTTTTCGCATTTGTTTCGACCAACCATTCTGGTTGTGATATTGGACAAAACAGGAGGATCGAATTGAAATCGTCAAGCATGTTAGTCATTCCGTTTTTTGTTAGATCGCACAACAACCGTATCGATTGCCAAAAAGTGCTCAATTTTGTTCGTATATCTATGGGCAAAATAAACGTATCACTGGCACTATACATTGCATTGATCCATGTTTAGGAGATAAATTGACTCGTGCAAACTTCATGAAAAGTGACATAATACTGACTGAATTCATTGTAGAGTATGGCGATACGTGAATAAGGACGCATTTAATAATGTCTGAGTACCGAACATGAAACCGTTCGAACTCTTATCCCGAAAATTCGATAAAGCGCCCACAACTTTAGACGAGCAGCTCATAAGCACGAACGCTTCAAGAGTTTTCTTAGTTTCGCTGAAGCCTATCTATATTCAAAATATGAAGCTGAAAACTCGGAATCGGTTGAATTACTTTCTTCGTGAGTATAGACATAAATATTATTCCGAATAAGCATGTAAATCATATAATTATGTTACTCTTTCTGTTTACTTCTGCTCATTGTTTTCGTAATATCTAGCCAAAGGAAAAAAAACTATATGAGTTTTTGGTTCATTCTAAAAGCTCGAAGGAAAGTCTAAGAAAACAGATGCTTTTCAACCCTTTTAGGAGTGGTTTTTATTGAATAAGACGACGCGAATTTCATTTAACAATTATTTTTCTGCATATTAATCGAGTTTTAATAGGTTTTGATTGAAACAAATTACATATCTGGTATCAGTATAAAAAACTGAGCCGATTTATACATGTTTCAGAGTTTTTCGACGAACATACTTGAGGGTGTGGGTGTTCTTTTTCTGTACACCCACAGCGACACCCACACCCTCGCAATCGAGCGTTTATTATTTTTTTCTGCAATTATTTAGAAAAATAAATAAATTTTCACATTCATTGCAATGATACACATGATTTGTTTTTTTTTTAAATCAAATTATATTAAGTTGTCATGTTGCATGTACGTGTATACTGTCGAGCCGTGTCTAGATCGCAACCTCATATTTATTACACAAATTACAGTGAAAACATGTAAAAGACAAAGACGAAAGATTCGCGAAAGCTTATATCTTTCTGTTGATCTTCTAAGTATTCTATAACTTTCAAATGAATGAGCGCTTAAAATAACCAATGATGCCGTTAATTTGTTGGAACATATAAGCATTGATCGAAAATTATTCAGAATAATTTTCTTAATACTAATACGTAGTCTATCGATGATATTCTAGTTTATTTTATAGATCATTCGAATACAAATTAAGTCTATCGATAAACCATCAATAATTAAGAAATCTTTCTAAGCTTGAATTTTTCACGCAAAGCATTAAAGCAATGATGATCAATGTCTACACGTGTGCAAAGAGTATTGAATATTATCGTGCCAATATAGTAGTCAATGTAATTAACAAAATCAAGAATTGTAACACTAATTACCATTTTCTATAAAATCTTTATTTGAAAATTTAATCAATCAGTCATTGTGAAACATTGTATTAGAGTTCATATAAAATACTACTTCTTTTCGAGTATTTTTATTCATTTTCAAAACTGTAGCTAATAAATAACTTTGTCAATTTGACTCGTATAACTCAATGCAACATTGATTTTCTGAATTAACATTGATAAAATATCGTTTGAAATCTCTGATGAAATATTAATACACATCATGCAATAAACATAACGTAGATTTTTTATACATAATAAAGTTTGATTTTTGATTGAAAAAGATATAAGGAGTACAATTTAAACAAATGAAAGAAGAATACTATATATATCTTCAGATACCATTGTTTTATAGTGGTGATTTTTTACATATAAATATTTTCAAAAGCCATATTGGGAAACTTATTTTACTTCGTGTAATCTGTTCATGTCACGTATTGAAGTTAATAGGTAAAAGCCAGAATATGTATTGTTTTATCAATTGCGTAATACAATATATGTCAAGGTCGATAACTTGTTTTATTGACTTGAAGAACAGAAACAACCAACAAGTTAGATGAAATGAAACGGACAAAAGTAATCATCTTTTTAAGAAAGGACAAGCATATATATATAGAGAGAGAGATCTATATGTTGTGATGACTCATACAAATGGAATGCAGAATACGAAAAAGAAACAAAAGAAATATAACAATAGAAATATTTTTATATACGAAATTAGAGTGATCACAACATAAAGGAAAAGAACACACATACATATATTTATAGAATTATACATATATCTAAATCATGACTCATCAGTAGACAAACACCAACATATAAGAAATGAAATAAATGTAACAATAATAACAAATATTGTCAATACACTACAGTTCATAGATTTTTTTTATAACAAAATCCCCGAGTCTTGAAATATTCTTTTTGTCGTTGTGATAATTACTCTAACATATTTCAGCACACGTTCATAATTCATTAGACAAAAAAAAGTCTTTTCGCTGATATGATGGTCAAATTCACCTGCAATCTCCTAAAGAAGCAACCGAATCGTAAGGACTTTTCCTATACGTCTGTACATTTATCGTCTAAGGCGCTTAGTGATTAGATTTCCTTCATAGATTAGTTCTATATTACATTAGTGAGATGGATTATTCAATGCATCTGTACAATAGAAAATAGAGATGTTGCTGTTTGGTAGTAAATCAAATACAAAAGTATGATTCGAGTATTCATTATGCTCTATAATCAATTCCTTGAGAATTGGTTGAACAAATGAATAGATCATAGTAGTAAGAAAGAACTGCGCCATACTAGTAAATGGTACAACAGGCAAAGTAATTGCAATGAAATTAGCAGCATGAACCCTGAAACAAAAGACCTATTGAAGACAAAACTGAATAATAATATGAAAATTTTCTTCAAAAAAAATCGACGTTTTCAAATATCGTTCAGGAAATATCTCAGATGTTGAAAAACTCATACATATCAAATTTGAAGAGTTATTACGAGTTTTAAAATATTATGAAAGACCATCTCTTCGAGGAGTCCTCAGAAGTTGTCTAGGAAATCTTTCAGGTATCTTGTTTGAATGTTGAGGAGATCTTAAGAAGGTTCCCAGAAATGTGTCATCTGATCTTCAAGAGCTATATAGAGATATCAATTCTGTTGAAATTTTCTATCAATTCTTAGATATCAACTAAGAATCCTAGAAGATCTCTATTGATACCGTGGAGAATGCTGATAGATCCATTGAAGACTTTCTATGATGCAATTAAGAGTATCTGAAAAACTCATGCAAATCCTATGTTGAAGGATCCAAAGTCCCTGTTCAAATAGTGAGGAGTTAAGATGCATATGCTTTGACCAGATATATAACTGATTTATAAAATCTAGACAGTGAATTTAAGGATATTGAACTCACCTTCTTTTTATCCCACAGTACGTACTGTTAGTGCTCCGAGGCACAAGTGTGTGCCAAAACATACACATAAGACATTGCACTAGGTACGAACGTCATCGAATAGTTTAAAACTCGTAATGAATTAATGATTTCTACACTACTGAATTCAATCGAAAGAAACCTAATTGATTTATTGTTAGTTGATATAGTCAGTTTCGCTGATGAGAAGCATTTCAAAGCATAGTTTGTTCTAAATCAAGAGCTATAAAAATCTAAAACACAACTTGAAGAACTGTTGTGATCCATTGAACTTTGATCAAGTTGAAAATAGAAAGAAACAAACAGTTTTGCAAAAATTTTAACAAATTAATTTTTTTCAATTTTAAGTCAGAAAGATTGGTATTCAAAATTGATGTGGTTTTTCTTGTATTTCATGGAACCAGAACAATATTTTTACTGAAAAAACTGTTTTTGATACTTGCCTTCTTATATGATCAAGGGCACTTTGATCTACTCTAATTTAACAACTTCGGCGGGATATCGAAATTGAGACATAGCTCGATGCGAATCTCCTTTTTCTTAATAGCTATAATTCTGAAACGTATAGAGTAGAATCAATCCTTGGATTTTGATCTTCTATGTCAGTCTTATGAAAAAGAGAGAGCTCGAGTTAGTGTCTACGACCATATTACATTAAACTCTACTTGTCATACTCGTTGATACTTTGAATGAATATTAGTATTATTTCATAAAAAGAATCAAAGAATTATTACCTTAAAAAAGATCAGGTTACTATAAAAAAAAATAAGTATTAGTATTGTTATAATAAAAAATCAATAAAACATATAACTTATAATTTATTTTGAAAATTTATCCAATAACATATTCAATTTTCTCTCTATATTATCTATTGTATTATTCATATTTATGTTCATCTCAAGAAGTTTTTCTTCTATGTTATCAATTTTAACTTTCATCGTCTTCAATTGTTCTGTGGCTTCATATGTTTGAGCACTTGTGTTACGCTGAATAGCAAGTAAATCAACATGATCAACACAACAGTCGATTAATTTTTTTTGTTTTTGTTTAACTTCATGAAACAAATGTATTGCCTCAAATAGTTGCCGTTTTACTTGAAGATGTTGAAAAGATGATACAGATCCTTTTTTATGTCTCATATACCAAACTTTGAATGCAAATTTCATCACGTTTGCTGCTTGTAATTTATATTCTTTTGTTAATTGAATATTCAATACAAAATTATGTACATATTTTTCTCTTCGATTCATTAGAAGTCTTTGTGCAAGAACAGCAATAACAAGTGCAGTTGAAAAGACACCAACCAAACTGGTTATAGCAGAGACACCTAATAATGATTAACAAATGAAAGTTTTATTCATATATGAAAATTGAAGAGATATTTTTTTCATGAATTAGTATTCTATTTACTTCGTCCACAATATGTCGAAGGTGTAAAATCTCCATAGCCAACAGTAGTAAATGTTACAACGAATAACCACATTGAATTGAGCATTGAAGCTTGCTCACTCGCTGGTGAGCAATGGCATGCACGTAAGCACCAACTTCCAATAAGAAAGAGACATATACAAAGTATTGTTAAAGTACGTATTGGATCTTTTTCAAGATAAGTTTTAATGAGAAAGAAATAATCAATTGATATCTTATTCAAATAACCAATGGATCGTGATGATGCATCAAGAAATAAATGCGAATGAAACATCAAAAAACGAAAAATCAAATAAAGACGGGCAAACACTATCAAAGTACTTGATAATAAATTTAATAAAAAAAAATAACAAAATATTGATACTTACTTGGCAGACCAAGAGCAACATCAGTATCCATATAAGACAATGAATAAGAAGGAGGTGTGGATGAATTTGAACTTTTCTCTATTAATGATGCATTCAAATAACGAGGAAATGAACGAGGTATTGGATGGATAGAACAAACTGCTATTTCAAATACAATTAAAAATATTCTCTTCGTTGTTATTGTAACACGGCTATCTTCAATTGCGTTATTAACAGCATAGAGAGATACCTCTAAATAATGATAGTGCATGATAAGCCCAATAAGAATAACTGTTGAAAAAGTAATAATTAGTTTGATAGACCAAGTTAATATGGTGTCGTCAGTATTGATTCTAGAAAATGTTATTTCATTTTCAATAATCATCAGAATAACTCCCAAAATACCAAGAAAACACATGATATCAGTCACAAAAGTACTAGAATATAAAATAAAATAATAAAACAACAAACATGTAAAGTTCATACATTCGATTATGTAATTTTTTTCGCATGGCTAATCGACGACTGATATTAGATAATGACGTTCTGTCAATAGTTGTTTGTTTTTTAAGATAATGAAGATGACGTTTTTCGTTGTTGAAAACATTTGAATCCATAGTAATTGCCGTTTTAGAAGGTAATATAACTACTTCAAGCGAGTCAGTCTTTTTAGTAGCCGATGAAGACTCAGCTTCAATTGAATTAATTAATGGTATATGAGTATCTTCACTACGAGCCATCTTAGATTAATCTAAAATAAATAAATACATTTATTAATATTATAATAGATAATAATAAAATTGTCAGTACATTACATCAATATTTTTTAAAACTTTTTTTTTCACGTAAAATTGAACAGATTTAAATAGTAATCAAAGATATGTAGTAAAAATATTTCATAGAACTATTTTCTGTCGATATTCTTGTTCTATGATGAAAATATTTTATTGGAAGAAAATTAAAATTTTTCTTTTTATAGGTTTTTTAAAGCTATTCTTGAGTCGTATTTCATACAACGTCATGTCCACAAGTTGGCACCGGTATACTTACACAGACTGAATACAAATTATTGAAAGTTTGTTTTTAATTCGCTTATCTATAATCGAAAACAAAGATATTTTTCTTTACGATAATCGTATTTACTTTGATGGGTGAAGTGATTGATCCGTTTTTTTATGTAAGCAATCACTTTCTTATATTTTTATGCATCAATATAAATAAGAGAGACTATAATGACAGCATTATAAACGAGAAAAAAGCATTTATACACTACTTACATACAGTAGAATACAATAGATCGTAAAGGGAGGAAAAATAACGATGATACATCTTGTATAAAAACGTGCGTCCCTTCTCAAAACGAAAGAGTATAGACGAAATTACCTCTCTTGTTTATATTTTCTTATATATACGATGCATATTGGTGAAACAGATTAGTCTAACAGTTTTAGTGTTAACAAAGTTTTATTATTTAAAAAAACTGAACAGCCTAATTCAGTAAAATTATCATTATTGAATGTTTATTCATTAAGAAAAAAAAATCATCGAGTCACTGTTTTTTTCTACCAAATGAATTTAATTAGAATTTTTCAAAAATAGTTTTGTTTTTATATGATCTCAAATTTTAGTATACAAGCATTTATTGATTTATTTTTTTCTGATTATTTTGAAAAACAAATCGAGTTTTTGAATTCATTGCAATGGTATTACATAATTTGTTTTATAAATAACACATACGGTGTTGCAACTTTGAATGTACGTATATAATGTCGAATGTTGCATTGATCATAAACTCCGTCAAGAATAGAAGACCATTCACAAGAAAAATTTCACAAAGCAGAATAGGAGGTTATAGGTGTTCTAAAATTTTTTTATGTCAGTCTAGCATATTTGATGAAATTCTAACATCTAAAAATCTGATTTTTGAGACAAAAATTATTTTCTAAGAGTTTCAAATAATGATATCTTTATAATTATCAAACAAAAGTAATAATCGACTTCAACTTTGGTTTAATAAAACTATATGTGATTAAAAATTGGTTAGACATGGTCTGAAATAAAAATCTTAAATATAACTTTTTATAACGTGTTAATTACTGTTAAACTTTAATATTCTATATCAAAATATGAAGCAACTTGAAAACGAATAATTTCTTTCACATTTGTTTGGTTTATTTGACATAATGAAAAGAATAAACTAGCATCAACATAATTATCCTTGTCATACTTTCTATAAGTAAAACAACTAATCATACATGGTTTGTTATTGATTAGGTTATAGCTTGCATAGAATTTTTCTAGCAGAACTGACGTCTATGAAAATGATTTATAATACAGAGGGTATTAGAAAAGCTTTTTTTCGTCAACCTTTTTCGTTGTTAAGTTATGACTCATCAGCAATAATGTATTTATATGTATTCGATTAAACAAGGCCATAGAAATAATTTCTGAGATTGTCTTTGGTGAGGAGAATAATGACTTGTTCTAATACATATGACATTGTTTCGTCTTCATTGATTTCAACTTAATGTATTGCCTGTTGAAAAGAAATAATGGTCATGGCTATCTTTCCAAAAACTCAAGAAAGGAAAGAGCTAGAGAGCTGCGGTTTTCACCAGTCGAAAGTGACGACACGAGAGCATCTTTTTCTCCAATATTGTATCAGACGAAATCATTTTAAAATCAATCATTTCTGCAAAACGTTGCAAAAACCCATGAAAACAGTCTGTCGTTCTGATGAAATTTTGATTTTAATATGTGATTTAGATAGAGGAACTTCAGATCTAGAGTTTAAGATATAATTTGAATGATCATCTTCACACATCGTAACGTTAAGCAAATCAAATTCTTTATTTACTCCCTCAAAAAGTATGAATTTCTCTTAATTACTAAGCAAATTTTCTTACTTTTTGTTAAAACTTCATCGAAATGACAGCCTGTTTTCATGGGTTTTTTGCAATGTTTTTCAGAAAAGATTGATTTTAAAATGTTTTCATCTGATACAATATTGGAGAAAAAGATGACCTAGCATCGTCTCTTTCGACTGATGAAAACCGCAGCTCTCTAGCTCTTTCCTTTCTTTAGTTATTGGAAAGATGGCCACGACCATTAGTTTTTGTTAACAGACAATAGTTCGTGCTTGAATTTTAGAAGGCAAAATAAGTCATAGGAGTTTAGATTTGTAGATTATGTTGAATTTGTATATGATTCAATACAAATTTTTGTTAAAAAAAGCCTTTGTAAATCAAACTTTCTGTGACCTCGCATTTTCATAGTGAAACCTAAGACCCAAAAGATTAGCCTTTTATTAAACTATTGTGCAGTTTTGAAGGCATGTGTCAGGTAGTTATTAACACGCTAATTTTCGTTTATCAGATCCTAATAAGATGGACTTAATAAAATAGGTTTTCAAAAAAAAAAATTAGGACAATTCGTTTGATCTATCCTGTTGTTCTGATGAATCTTCACTATTCATGGTTTGTTTAGGGTGATCCGAAATTTTTCTTGTTACACAGACTTTCATGAGATCAATGCATTTGACAAAGGTCTTTTGAAATTCATCATGTGGTATGGCGTCAAGATCCTTGGTTACGGCTTGTTGCAATGATTTGAAATCGCTGAGGCATTGTAATCATACTTTGATCTTGGAAAAAGATTTTACTGTCTTCCATTTTGTAAGGTTATGCGTTGTTGTGGTACTTTTCTGATATTTTTAAATAAATGTTTCAGGTAATTGTCTTTGTAGTAAGCAACAGATATAATGGTGTTGAAATCTAACATAATCGATATTATGATGATAAATATATATTTTTGCTATTGCTTGTGTTTTTTCGTCAGTCGATATGGTATTCGTCTTGCGTACAACTTTTTCCATTTCAATTCATCATGAATAATCCTACTTATAGTATCATAAGAGAAGCCAGTTTTAAATATCATGTATCGAATGATAATGTGCAGATTTTCATTAATTAATCCATGAATGACTTCATTTACTGATCAGTCGATTTTTGAATTATCTGCTGAGGAGATTCTATCTTGTTTGAAGTGTTGCATTAGCTCAGCCATCATGTTATAAGACACAAGACATTCATTTCATGCACCAGACAATGCTGTATGGAAACGAGCACTATCTTCAATTATTGTTGGGGCAGTATTAAAAATTTCTTTGACTATAGCAATTGAAAGATAATCTGTTTAAGCCATATCTTCGATGTTGAAATAACTCTGTTAAAACTCATGAAACAAAATGACTAATATACGACTTAAAGGTAATCAGTTCTCTTATGCTCATACTAAATGGATATGGCTTTCCTTGTAAGTTAAATTAATTTACTAGGCATGTAAAATTATACTGCAAAAGTGTTATTAGCGCCGTTTAAAACTTTCTAAAATTACGAAATAAAATCGCAAAAAATACGGAGATAATTGAAAAAATGAATGTGATAATGAAAAATTTGATTTGTTACGATAGTTTTCTCATTAACACAACAAATTATAATTCAATATATTCCAGTGAAGTTATACAGAATGCAATTCGAATAAAAAGTCACCTTACGTGTTTTTAAGATCGAATTAAAACGTGTAAAATTTTTATATCAATATTAGAAAACACTAACAAACAGGAGAATTCGATCTTTATTTTGAGATGAATTTGCTTTTCATTTCAATCGATTTATGAATAAACATAAAATGAAAGCCTATGTCAATATCGTCCTTTTAAAAAACGAATTACATCCAATTTAAAATGAAAAGAGATTATCAGAATAATTGGATGACAACAAAAACAAAATCATATCATGTTTTTCTAGTACTTTTAAAAGCTATTGTTTGCACTATCAGCAATATATTGCAGTACCCATAAGTACTCACGGTATATCGATAGTAGATTGTTAATTAGAGTACATCCTATCGATGGTTTTTATCCTATTTGAATCAGACACATAGACATCTAATGTAAACGGTCTCCATATCAAAAGTACATATGAACAGGATAAAATGATATAAAAGAAAAATATAAAACATGCTGGAAAGTACTTTACTATTAAAACGTTTACCTGATGAGTATTATTTTTTTATGAGATCAGAAAAATGGAAAAGTATTCTATACTAAGAAGTAAATTGATTTTTACGAAAGTTAATAAATACATTTAGTTGATACTTTAAATGAATATTGATATTATTCCATAAGAAAAATCAAAAAAATAATAAAGTTGAAAAAAGATTCAAATTAGTATGAATAAATCGAGTATTAATATTGTTATAAACGAAAAAGCAATAAACTATATAATCAATAAATTATTTTGATACTTTATCCAACAATATATTCAATGTTTTTTGTATATCATTCACAGTATTGTTTATATTTGTGTTTATTTCAACAATTTTTTCTTCTATGTTATCAATTTTAACTTTCATTATGTGCAATTGCTCTGTAGATTCATATGTTTGAGCACTTGTCTGACGTTGTATAGTTAGTAGATCGATTTGATCAACACAATTGTCGATTAGTTTCCCTTGTTCTTGTTTAACTTGTTGAAGAAAATGTATTGATTGAAATAATCGTCGTTGTACTTTAAGAAATTGAATAGATGATACAGGTCTCTTATGATTTTTCATATACCAAACTTTCATAGCAAATTTAATCACATTTGCTGCTTGTATTTTATGTTCTTTTGCCAGTCCAATATTCAATGCAAAATTATGTACATATTTTTCGCATCGATCCAACAGAAGTTTTTGTGCAAGAACAGCAATAACAAGTGCAGTTGAAAAGACACCAACCAAACCAATAATAGCAGCAATAGCTAATCATAATAAAAAAAAATTGCAAGTTTTATTTATATTTGAAAATCAAATAGATTTTTATCATAAATTATTATTTTATTTACTTCGTCCACAGTATGTAGAAGGCGTGAAATCTCCATAGCCAACAGTAGTAAATGTTACAACAAATAACCACATTGAATCGAGCATTGGTAAATGTTGATTGTTTGGTACATAACTACATGCACGTAAACACCAACTTCCAATAAAGAAAAGAATTAAACAAAATATTGTTAAACAACTTATTGGCCATTGTTGAAGATACGTTTTGATAAGAAAAAAGAAATTAATTGATATTTTATTAAGATATCCAAGGGAACGTGATGATGAATCACGAAATAGATGCGAATGAAACATAATAAAACGACAAAGTAAATAAAGACGAGCAAACACTATCAATGTACTTAGTTTTACATTTTCTAACAGATACAAAACATTGATACTTACTTGGTAAACCAAGTGCAACATCAATAGATATATAAGACAAAGAATAAGAAGGAGGTGTAGATGAATTTGAATCTTTGCCTGTTGATGATGTATTCAAATAACGAGGAAATGAACGAGGTATTGGATGGATAGCACAAATTAATATTTCAAGTACAATTGAAAATATTTTCCAGTGTGTTAGTGTAACAAGACTATCTTCAATTGAATTATTAACAGCATAGAGAGACATATCGAAACGATGATATTGGAAAATAAGTCCGATGAGAATAATTGTTGATAAACTAATAACTATTTTGATAGACCAAGATAATATAGTATCATTATTATTATTTTGAGAAAATGTTATTTCATTTTCAATAATCATCAGAATAATTCCCAAAATACCAAGAAAACACATGATATCAGTCACGAAAGTACTAGAATATAGAATAAAATAATAAAATAACAAACATATGTATATATTTCATACAGTCGTTTATGTAATTCTTTCCGTGTGGCTAATCGACGACTGATATTAGATAAAGAGATATTTTCGGCTATCTTCTGTTTTTTAACATTTTTCGGATGAGTTTCATTGTTGTCGAAAACATTTGAATCCATAGTCATTGCCGTTTTAGAAGGTAATATAACTACTTCAAGCGAGTCAGTCCTTTTAGTAGCCGATGAAGACTCAGCTTCAATTGAATTAATTAATGGTACGTGAGTATCCTCACTATGAGCCATCTTAGATTAACCTAAAATAAATAAATACATTTATTAATATTATAATAGATAATTAATACACTTGTCAGTATATTTACTTATCAAAAACATATGATAAAAATGTTTCAAAGAACTATTCTCTGTTGATATTCTTTTTCTTTATGAAAATAATCTATTGAAAAGCAATGAAAAGTTTTCAACAGCTTTTTTATCTCGCATTTCAAAAAAAAATCATTTCGATAGGTTTTACATTGTGACACTTACATGAAACGAAAGAAAATTACTGCAATTTGTTTTTCATTACATTCATATGTTGTCGAAAATGATGATACTGTTCTTTGACAATCATTATATTCACCTTGATGGGCAGAATCATTGATTGCTTACCTTATACATAGGCACTTACATTCTCCTACTTATATTTATGATTATACATACGAAGAGCCAAGATAACAGGAAAATTAATTAAAAAAAAACATCCAAACATTAATGAAATGCATCAGAATGTGTTGATTGGAGAGATTGATAAAAAAAACTAATGGTACAATCCTACATATGAATGTATCTCACCTGTGAAAATTAAGAGACAAACAAAACTGTATGATTCTTGTTGCATTCTCTTATGTGTAAGATGTACACTAGTAATACAAATTTGTCTAAAAGTATTGGTATTGACAAAGTTTCATTCGTTAAGTAAACTCAACAAATAGATTCATTAAATCTATGGCTATTTAGCGTTATTTTCTTATGTTGAATGAATTCAATTAGAAATTTTCAAAAATAAAATTCTCTTTTGTGAAACATAATCTAAAAGGAATGTTGAAGTATATCGGATAGAACTTCGCACCCAGCCCCGCCCCCAGACTATGAGAGATATTTTAGATACACGATTAACAATCATATATCATTAAAATCTTATTAGAATATATGAAATGCTTCCTTACTGCAGTCTTAGAGAACTAAGTAAATGATGATGAGAAAACGGGTCCTACAATAGATCGAATAAAACAATTTTCATCTGATTAACCACAGCAGATGAATCGTGTTTCACATTTTAATTCCACAAGGATTGCGCTAACAGCTTTTTTTTTTTACATAGCTTCAAAAATTTGTATACAAGCGTTAAGTTGTGGTTTTTTTTGATTAATTAAAAACAATCAATTTTCAAATTCATTGCAATGTCATGCATGATTTATTTTCAAATTACAATATACTAAATTGACATGTTGAATGTACATGTATATGTGGCATCGTATGTTGATGATAACTTCTCAAAGTTATTGCGTAAATTAGAGTGAAAACATGTTAATGATAATTTCTCGAAATATGTAAACCTAAATCCAAAATTATTGTGAATAATTTTCTCACTACTTATACTTAGTTAGTCGATGATATTCAAGTTCGTTTTAGAGGTCATTCAAACACAAACTAGATCTATCGATAAATGATTAAAAATAAACGTATCTTTTTATTGTGATCAGTATGATAAAGTGTTTCATTCAACTCATTGTAGCAGCAATGATCAATATCCTCACGTCTTCGGAAGGTATTGACTAAACGTTAGGTATTGTCTATCATCTTACCAGTATAGTCAATGAAATTATCAAAGCCAATAAGTGTAGCACCAGTTACAATATTTTCCTAGGAAAATTCAGGTGTATTAAAGTTTATATAAAATAACACTCCTTTTCGATCATTTGTATTAATTTTCAAAAATGTAACCAATGAATAAGTGTGTCAAGTCACTAGTAAAACTGCACGTAAATCAAGGTTTTATCAAGTTGTTTTTTTTCTTGTAGCGAAACTCGAATAACTGTTTTATTGACTCAACAAGGCTTTATTGTAAACATTTAACGATGCATTCCACAGAATAACTTGAATCATTGTAAAGTTGAAGAAAGAAAAAACGAAATGAGTTTCAAGATTCTTTCACTTGAATAAACCTTCTTTTATTTATCGATGAAACTGTTTCTTATATAATGTTGAAAAATGAATCTTATCATAGAAATGACCTTTAGTAAAAATATATGAAAGATAAGATCTATCATTTTTTGTCTTTTTAAATATGAGTTGATCGATCATGAGCTACTGATTATGAAAAAGTAGTTTTTATCATAGATGGACGCTGTTTTCAAGTCGAAACGAATTAAAAGCCTTGAAAGTATCGTTTTTCGTAAAAAAAACACATTGCTGTCGAAATGTGGGAAATTTTCTGCTTCAATCTTCTTGTCAGTTCCTGAGAGTACTATTTTCAGACTCGGTGTTAATAATAGAGTACAGACAAGATGTTAAATCGATTTTAAACCCATAGGACTTTTGATGGTAATGCTTCGAATTGTGTCTATTACAATGTACATGGGCTTCAATTAATCACACATTGTTCCAATAGACCATTCGTCACAATAGAAGCCCTTGGAGCTTCTATCATTGGAAGAACTGCTAACACAACTTGGATGTGGTCAAATATCTATTTACAGAATAAGTGGCAGTTACAGAAAGTACATAGTGATCATGATTTCAGACGGCGACGAAAAATACAAATGATTTCTAGAGATTATTCTTCATGTTGAGTATTGACGCCTAGAGAAATATTTTTATACAAAGGTGGCGCCTGATGAAAGCTAACTTAATAGCATCTGTGAAATTTTGCTCGAAAAACTGGACTTGTCTAGACACAATAGAAGCTCTGGATCTTCTCATACGTTTTCTACAAGAATTCTACTGGAGGAGCTTCTATTTTGAAGAGTGATTTAAAGACTGACTGACAGCTTTAGAAACAATTTATTAAATATAAATCTTATGAAATGAGGTATAGTGGAAACTAGGGAACACGTAACAGATATCAGATAGTTCTAGTCATCGGTGTTATTTCAATAATGCTACATTGGATGATATGATTGCAAGTGATAATGAATCAGGATCAATAAAATTACTACTTTCGTATCGATATGCATTGAATTTTGCAACACTTTCAAATAATTTTCTAATCCAAAATGCATGAGACAATGGTAGCGTTGGTTGGGCGATTAGTGCAAGTGCTGAATATTTGATCACTAGCTATACTAAAAATTTCAGACAGTTTGCTTTTTTGTTGAGAAGATGCAGATGTTACAATGCCAACAAAATAAAATTCCGTAACGCTTGAACATGTTGACGAGCATTTGCGCTCAGATGAGTCATTCTTGGTTTTAGACTGATTAATTACGAAAGGAGCAAACAACTGTCTACGTTGAAAATTTATTACGATCATAAACGGTACTTTATTACACCGTAAGTGATCATGTCTGTATGCTGTAAAATGATTGATATACGATCGTGTATAATAGAGCGAATTATTTGTGGACGAGTTCTGTGCCGTGAAATACAAGCTCTGCCTAGTCTGAAGAAAATGAATTCGATTATCAAGCTGTCTATCATATTTATCTAAAGTGCGTAATTGTATTTTCGTTGCTGCTTCGGAAAATCAAATATTTAACAATGAAAAACTGAATTTATTTCTATGTGCCAACATCGAATAGACCATAGAAAGTGTCGCTAAAAAAAAGTAGATTATAAACAAGAATCATGTGATCTATATTTATGATATGAATGAGAGTTTGCATGTATAAAGATTTAAAAACTAGCAAGAAAATCTTTTGCAGAAAGATTTATTTAACAAGAAAATATTCTCTAAGCAATATTATAGACGAGAAAAAAGTCGACAATAAAATAGTTAGAAACGTAAAAAAAGTATTTGACATCGATAGAAGTTCGATTGTCACTTTGTTAAGCAATCGATAGAGTCTTCTATAGTACATGCTTTCTATCAAAAAGTTGAATTTGTATATGTACGAAGATTGGTATCAAATGTAAGCATCGTACGTGATTGAACGGAGTTAGCTAAATCAAACAAATACTGAACGAATGAACCACTCGTTGAAGCTAAAAAGAGATCGTAAATATAATAATACATCAGAAACATTATTTCGTTTGATTACCTTGTACACCGATAGTACAAGTAACACCTCCATCACTTGCATCATAATATTTGAACTGAACAACACCAGGTACTCCTTCGAAAAAAACTACTTGAAAATGATAATATTGAGACGGTTGACTAAAATGGCTCATATAAAATTCAAATATAAGAGTGTGATTGGGAGCATTTCCTTCTGTTCCATAATAAATTCCTTGTGATATGCTCGAATAAAAGTATAAATCATCCCAATAAGCAAGAACTGTTACACCACTAAATGCTGTTGTAGGTAAAGCAGTTTCAGTGTAAGTAGTAGCGCATGTACCAAAACAAAGAACCTATCAAAGATCAGGATGAATAGTGAGATGAAAATTTTCTTTCGAATAGTCGACATATTTAAAGATCGTTCAAGAAACATCTCAGACATTCGAAATACTTTCTAATGTTTTTATATGTTTTTATATTATTTGGAAAAAAAAACAAATATACTATTGATACTCATTTGTGAAGAATAACAAAAAAAAACAACTTTCTGTTTATTTGTGATAAGCAATTGTAAGCAAACTTATACCAATCGTTGTTACATAAACAAAATTAGTTGTGATATCATAAATTGTGATATTAAACGGAAGCGTAACACCATAAAAAGCACCATCCACTTGTCCATTAATACTAGCTGTCCAAACATAATTATTGTTGGCTAATTGGTTCCCAGGTGCATTACTACAAATACCAACTGAACAACTTGAGTAATTTAAAGCAGTACAGTTATGATCAATGGTACCACGATTGTTAACATCGAGTAAAACATTAACACAACCGCCAGATGGTGCAAAAATGTATGGTGAAACACAATTAGCTAAAATAAAGACTTATTTATGTATTTAGTTGTGGCCGTATTGGGAAACGCTCGTTTCTTTACAGGGTGGTCCAAAAGTAACAGGGCAGATGATGTTTTTCGATTTTTTTTCTTTATACATCGACAGTTACATCTCATATTTATACCACATATACTAGGTAATATCAGTCAGAGATGGGACATATGATCAACCTCTAGGCGTATTAATTTGTTCGAAAGAATATAAATATGTCTTAATTGCTCTTATGTGACTATATGAAACATTCGATGTTTTTCATGTTACATTCGATTCGATTAAATTTTGTATTCTTTTAGTCTAAAGGAGTTCAAAATCTGACAGAGTCGAATTTGTTTCTCAGATTGAGATAAGCAGACAAGAAGATGAAAATCGAATGTAACATGAAAAACATCGAATATTTCATATAATCATATAAGAGCAATTAAGACATATTTATATTCTTTCGAACAAATTAATACGCCTAGAGGTTGATCATATGTCCCATCTCTGACTGGTGTCACCTAGTATATGTGGTATAAATATGAGATGTAACTGTCGATGTATAAAGAAAAAAAATCGAAAAACATCATCTGTCCAGTTACTTTTGGGCCACCCTGTATGATTGTGTTACTGGAGTTAATTACTTCAAAATGGTTTTTAGATTTATATCTTTTGTAAAGAATGTTTTATATCGTATGATTCGTTATTCGAAACAGTCATACCTGTGGTAGCTAAAATATATCAAATAAAATTATGTTGATGTATGACGATGAAAAGAAATTTCTCACTTGTAGCCATTGTTACTGCCATCGTTGAACCACTTCCAGCAAGAGTTGTCGAGAAATCTAGAAATACATTTTACTAGCTGAGGTACCCGGCGTTGCTCGGGAAAGTTCAGTCTTAATATATGCATGAAAAATACGTATTGGGCTCAACAACATGTGGAAAATCCTGACCGGTGGGGAGCCCCGCTGGGAAACCTGTTCGTAGACAGCCTAACAAAATAAATACCGTTTGATTCAAACAAAACACAACGACAAATATAATTGGTCTAGAGTCTCACTTGCATAGTCCCTATTGATCGAGTGAATTAGGACGGTAAATCGTACTTTGTACTATTTGAATCACGCTCAATTGTAATTTGTTGCAAAGACAGACAGACAGTCTTTTACGCAATAGAGACCTTTTTCAGCAACGTAAGAAGTCTATTTCTTTGAGCTAATAATTGACGCACAGACTTTTGAACCTGACAAATTGTTTATTCGAAATCCCGGCCTCATATGATCTCTCGGAGATCAGTTTCCTCAAAACTTGATTTTTACTTGACACGGGCCGCCCAGTAGGGGCACGACCGGCCTAACAGAGTTTCGACATCAATAGACTTGAGATTCCTAATGCCCTTTTCCCGAGCATCCGATGAGGTTTCTTTTCCCAAAAACTCGATTTCTAGTGATTCGTTCTCGAACAAATCGGTTTCTGTTGATTTCCGGCTTACCCGAAGAATTTCGAGGCGAATGGACATCGGATTTGAACTCACCACGTGTAGAAACCATTAGAGGACTGCTTCCGCGAAAATCCAATTTATATTAGCTGGTTTTTTTAGCAGCTTAAATCCTATTGGTTCCAAGTCAACCTATAGGATTTCGAGGTGAATTGAGCTTGGATTCGAACTCGTCGTCTCTGAAACTTCCTACTGGCCTGTTTTCACGAAAAAGCAATTTTCATTAGTTGGTTTCTTAGCTGCTGAATTCCTATTGGTTTTCAGCCAACCAATAGAATTTCAAGTAGATGGATCCCAGATTCGAATCCACTGCCCTCGAAAACCTATGGTCACTTGTGTTCTGTTTGATCACGGAGTGCTGTTAAGTAGTTCTCCTATACTACCGAATGCTACAATCTCATTGGTCAGGTACATAGTCCGACCTTTTACGGGTGGAGAATCGATTTTTGTTCGATAAAAAGTAGTCGTTGACTTTTCCCTATACTGAAGGGTATGCCATGCAAAGTTTGGCTGCTCTAGCTCTTACAGGAACTGAATGCATAACGAACAAACAGACAAACAGACAAACATTCTTCTTTATATATATAGATATGAGATGTTTGATTATGGAAGTATGCAAATTAGAGTGGCTATGTAATTGAAAAAGAACTAAACAAAACATCTTCTTATTCATGTGCAGATGAAATTTGATAAATGATGTCTTCTAAAAAAAAATTCTTCATTTTCCATAGAAAAATATCGTAACTTCTGTGTACGTGCAAAATTCAAGTTTACAAAATAGTTTTAATCGATCAGTAATCGTGAACACCGAGTGACCTCTATAGAAAATATATATCATAGTAAACTTGAAAAGAAAAAAATAATTGAGATCGAGTATCGATTTGATTCCGGAACTGCAGAACCGAAATTCTGCGTCCATATGCTATTGGCTCATTTGGAAGTGGGCAATTTTAGTCCCAGAATCGCGGCTCGATCGATAGCAGTGCTGTACTCATGTGTCTCTTATGCTGTTTGATTTTGCACATTGTGCAATTTTTCGTTTCTCTGTCCTTCGCAACAAGTAATGTTGTTGTTTTTTCGTCAGACACTATAAAACTGTCTTTGGCAGACAATGATTGCTGCAGTATATACACAGAAAAGTGAATTCATAAACCTGCCTTGCAGCGTGTAACAAGCATTTTTTTATTCTGTTCTGGGTTTTTGAAACAAAATACTAACTACTTATTTAATTATGTATTTGAATGTTTGCATCGTAGATTATTTCATGAAACACACTTGTAAATTAGTGTTGAATCGTGCAGAATACGCATTATAACAAACACACTAGATATAACTATAATATTATAGTCATTCTACAAACTACAAAAGTTTTCAATTGACTGAGCATCCGGAACAGCAAAGTACATTTTGCTTTCATAGGTTTGTTTTCTTCTAATTTTGCTGTGTCTTCATTTATGGTGCGATTCAAACCATCTGCCATTTTATCACACACATTCTATTCACTTGTTAGATTTCTATAACGAAACTCTGATAATAATTTTGAGAAAACTGCTTTTTAGGAGCAACACTAAATGGCAAGTATTTGTATTTCAAAACAACACAAATGCAATTGTCTATTCTCGTTTACATTCAAATAATAGCTAGTAATGTATTTTAAAAAAATGCAAATACCAAGAGAATTATCATGTAATTTATCTCATATTATTTGTTGCTAAAATAATTTAATCTATGAACTACTTCATCAATATACTTGTTCACTTGGATCTTCGTTGATAATGTAGAAAATCAAATCATGAATATGCATTGCAACAACAACGATCGGAATAATCACAATCATCACTATGACTGATTGCGATCCTCTCATTCGATCAGTGAAAGAAAAGAACATTGATCATAAGCGCATTCGAAAGTGATCCAACTGATCAGCCAATAGATGTATTGGGTGAAAATCAAAAGAAATTCTTTATTTCGAAAAATAAAAAAAAAGCACTTATTTACATAAATTTGTTTATATACAATGCATGACAACAAAATATCATCTTATGTTTAATATGAACCCTTTCATTCAGCTTATTTCTGTACACATTCCACTCGTTCACATAGTGTACCAAAAATTCGATCGAAAATTCTCGTCTGTTTACCATAGTTCATACCACTCTTACCATATCGATGATGTATGTCATGATCTTCAATACACAATTCCATATCAAATGGTAGAAGAACTTCGTATAAAATTACATGTGGAAAATAAGCACGTATTCCCGAGTGACCTCCAGCTTCTGTATAAATAAGTATGCATTGAGCAATCCAAAATTCATGTGCTGTTAAAGGAAGAACTAATGAAGTAATAAGTGGTATTAAGAAAATTTCAATTAAATCTTGTATATCACCAGCAAGAATTGATTGTATTGGTGTAGGATGTTTAGAACAATGATGTAAACTATGAATTTTCCATAAGAATGGAACAGTATGAACTGCACGATGATAACTGTAAAAGAAAAAATCTAAAACAATTAACCATAAACCAATTTTAATAATAAAAAACCATGAAATAGTACGACCAAGTGATGGTGGTTCATTACGATTATATCCACCAAGAATAAGACCACCACCAGTACGTGCTAGCAGATAAATAAGAACACTGAAAATAAATCGAGGTACTAATTTATCTGGAACATAATCACGTGGTCGGTTCTCTTCATCAAATGTTCCATAATGCTTCATGTAATAATGAGCACGACCAGCGAGTTGTAAAGTAAAAATAAGAAAGGCTAAAAAGTAAAAAATGAATGTAAACAGAGGATGCCATGTATGATAATAGTTATCTTTCGGTATGAAATGATACCAAAGAGCTTGAATAATGAGCGCTGGAGATATTGTACAAGTTAACCATAAACGTTCAAGCCAAATATTATGTATTGGTGGTGGATTTGGATTTTTAGGTTGAACTTGATAACATTTTCGACTAGCAAGATCTATCGAAGCTAGACGTTCCAAAATACTGCGCTCTTTGAAAGACTTTGCAACCCATTTTGATGTTGTACGAATTTTATACGTTACAGAAGGTTCATCATATATAGCTTCTAATTCATTTAAAAATGCAGTTGTTTCTGTTTTAGTTAAGGTAGTCGTCATTACAGACACTCAAAAATGAAGAAAATGAGTAAAGAAAAGTAGTCACGTTCATATATCTATTTCGTATATTTTATTACGTCTTTGGTCTACTGCGTCATATGATTTTTTTCGTACCTTTCTATTAAAAACTCGTACTTTTATCAACATCGACATGCTCAAACCTATGATTCATCTTTCAGTTAATCTTGTTTTTCTAATATTCCTTATCATTTTTTTATTTCAAGATAGTTGTTGCAAAGATAACTCTCTAGAAAAGGAGTCCATTCTTCATTACAAGACTGTCTAAACAAAACTTCATCGATCCTATCATAAAGCTATGCACTAATTAATTAATTTTCTGTAAATATTAATTAATAATTAGTCAAAAATACTGTTTTTCTGAGATATTGCTCTGTATTCTATCATACACAGCATTTTTCTATATGAAAGCGAGTTTTTTTTTCCATGAAACATATCCGAAAAATATTAATTAAACTTATTAATTAATTATATTTTTTAAACATTTTTGATTAATAATTGGTTAAAAGTTAACCCAATAGAAAACTATCCAAAAAGTAATGATGTCAAGAGATGCTATATAAGGTCATGGTCTTTTATTCACAGAGGAGATTACCTGTATTGCAATGGTAGAAAACTGAAAAATTAAGAACTCTATACTTCTGTACATATCTTTGATCAGAAGTAAACTTGAGTAAATATACCTAATGTTTGTTTCAAAATAGAAGGCAGATTGTCATTTTGTGAATAAATATTGCTGAGTGTAAGATATAGACCTGCAGTTTTCACCGTCGGAAAGATGCTTTTTTTATAGGTGCTTTTGGATCAATGCTTTTTTTCTATGCACATGTTCATCAATTTTCACAATAATCTTAACTCGATTTATATCAAAATGTAACTCAAATCAGTCTTTTTTTCCAAATATGTGATACTTTTATAGAGAAAAAAGAGTGATTTGAGTTACATTTTGATATACTAAAAAAAAACAATTAAATTCTCTTTTCCGTTTGAGAAAAATGAGTCTCTTTTATTTTTGAGTCTTTCAGATCATTTCGTTCTATTGTTGGACAAAGCACCAACATTATATCAAATATTAAATAATTTTACTCTAATTGCATACTTTCCTTCTGATTCAAATTCACCATATGTAGCATAAGAAATGTACTGGTATTCTGATGTAACCAGTAATAATGTTAGTTTAATATATCATGATGTTATTTTCACGTTAAGGTATGGACATCTCACTTTGAATCAAACCAACACGCAAAAAAAAGCTTTTCAAGGTCCTGTTCGTATTGAGTATGTTTAGACTCATATTATTCTTGCTTACGACCAAACATATAAAAAGGCGTCTCTGGATGAATGGAACACTTTTTAATATTACAACTGTTGTAGTAGATGCTTACGCTTTTATTTCTTCATATTATGCTACTCGAAGTAATATGAACGCGGGTTCCGGTCATCTTCCAATCGGATGTACATCCAATGTATTACTCATTGTGACTTTAACTTATTCGGATATTATCGATGATTTTCGTCTTTATCAAAGAAAATTAGATTTGGATATTATATGTATATTAAGTGTAGCTTGAGTTTGTTATTGTTTGCTGTATTGATTATTCTCGAAACATTATCATAAAATAAAATAATTATACCAAAAATACTACTTAAGTCAAAATAAACAAGATGTCATGAAATGATTTCAACAGCAATGATACATTTGTATTTGAATGCTCTAGTTCTATTTTTAAACATCATAATAATATTTTTTTTAATCAAGTACAATAAATAAAAATACATAATGAATAAATTTATAGAACATGACAGAAATAATCATGATGTCTAGAAAAGAATATAATAAAGTTTGATTTATTTTCGTGACCAATCATTAATTATATACGCATAGTAATTAAGAATTCAAACTAACAAGTAAATAAAGCTCTGTATACCATTCATAAGAACACGATGAATAGTATGTGAAATGGATGCATTTCTATTCTTGATAAGTCATGAATGCTTCAGACACAGGAAATTCTTTTTAGAGAGTGACAAACTTCAAATTTGGAAGTATAATGCATTATTAATTAAATATAAATCAATAACAAAAATATGTTCACAAACCATCTATAATACTTAATGAACTTATGTAACAAAACTCGAATTGAGATGTATTTTGGTCGCTTATATGACTAATCTTGCACAACAAAAATAACATATTCGAAGAAAATTCCACAAAATCTATCGAACACACCCATTTAGGACGTAATTTAATTTACACGCCGGAGCTCTAGAAAAACTACCAAGGTGGAGAAGTTTTACAAAGATTTACTGCAATATTTAATATTTATTTAACTATAAGATCCTCCTGTGAATCTTACATGATTCTTATCAGACCATAATTTTAGATCTCTCTCATTCAAATTTTTTTGATAGCAATATTTTTGTAGGTTTAAATGATTATTTGGTCGATTAAATATGTTCTAGTTTAGATGCCTAGGTAAAGGAGGTACAGTAGGTTTTGACCGGAATCGGATACGATCGCCAGGTTCCTGCTTTCCAGTTCCTAACATATTTTGAAGGTTTCTGGTCGGAAATCGACGGATCCGGGGCGTCGAAACCATTGATCTAGACGCTGCTTTCTTAGTGTCGAAAATACATCTACTATGTAGTGGTACTGATCTGATAAAAAAAGTATTTCCATAGATAATTAAATGAATTTGATTAAATAGAAGTAGATGTTCCTTTGTTTAAACTACTTATTTTAGATCATGTTAACGATCAAATTGAAAAAAAACAGAATTCTGTATTCATTTAGTTTTTGTAATTTTTATAAGTAATTAGATATACGAGTAAAGATGACAGACTTTCTAAAGAAAACAACCGATGATAGACGCCAAGAATAGAAAAAAAAACTAAGTATACAACATTGTGGAAAATTACTAGTAAATCATACATGAAGTCGTATAACATCTATCATCAAGATTATACAATAATTGTATAGTGCGATTTTACCAGAAAAGATGGCTCTAAGATTGGAACATAAAATCATAGAAGATCCGAAAAAAAAAGAATGAAATTATAGAATGATCGTTTGAAAATTATTAATTGATAAGAAAATATATCGAAAGATTATTTTTCTGTTTTATTATAAAAATAGACTAAATCAAATAACGAAATGCATGTATAGCAAAATGACTATCGTCTGATTCATTTGATAAAAGTAAGCAAACGACATAAAAAACAAATGTAAAACTATTTATATGATTCATTATCGAGTATTTTTTTTTTGTATTAGTACAGAAAAAAAAACCTGTGACGTCATCGATAATAATAAGAAAGAAAGAAAAAAAGTGTCATTCCAATGCATTTATTATCATATATTATTTCGAAGAAATAGAAAAAAAAAGGTAATAACATATTACAATTTGATATAAAGCCTATTTTCATTAATTTCAAAATAAAATAAAATGTCCATTAATCGATTAGAATATCTTTCAAATGAAATTTTTTATGAAATTTTCGAATATCTCGATGGTTGTTTTGTATATAATATATTTTCAAATCTTAATATTCGTTTTAAATATCTTTTTAATGATTCATCTCTTCCACTTAAACTTAATCTATCCTGGACATCAAAATTAACTTTTGAAAATTATTATAAATATATTATTATACCAAATTTAAATCGTATTATTTCACTTCATATACCAAATCCATTAGCAATTAAATCTTTTCTATCATTATTTTCAATTAAGAATTCATTTATTCGACTTGAATCAATAAATTTTGGAAAAATGAATACTGAACATATTATATGTCTATTAATTTATTTAAAAACTTTACCACGTCTTTTTTCTTTATCGATAAATATTAATAATCCAAAAGATAATGATAATACAATTTTTCATTTAATTGTTAGTCTACCAATTTTAAAATATTGTAAAATTTCTTCTGAAAATGAAGAATCTTTATTTTCAATACCAATTTTAATTCGTAATATTAAACAACAAGAAAGTACTATTGAATATTTAATTCTAAATAGTATTTGTGAATTTGATCAACTTATTGCTATTCTTTCATATACTCCTCGACTTATACATTTATCATGTCATTCTTTACATGTTGGTAATGATCAAGTACATATACCAATAATAGTAACTAATTTAAAAAAATTATTTATTGAATTAGATGCAACACCATTTCATATTTTTAAATCATTTATTAGTAAAATTTCATTTCAATTAGAAATATTACGTATATCAGCAAAATATGAAAAAACTTATCTTGATGCTAAACAATGGCAAGAATTAATTTCATTTCATATGCCACATTTACGTATATTTGATTTTCAATTTAAAAGTCAATTATGTGATGATCAAATGAAATTTATTGAATATGATAAATATATAGAACAATTTCATACAAAATTTTGGTATGAACGAAAATGGTTTTTTACATATGAAAATTGTCAAGGTGATTATGGACCATTTAAAATTATTTATACAATTCGTCCATATAGGTATAAAAAGAAAATTTTTTTCATTTTCAATTTTTGTTTATTAACTATATTTAGACGAAATTATTATAAATTATATGAACATACAATTAATAATCTTGAAATATCTACTTATCAAGATAATTCTATACATTTATGTCGTCATATTCTTATTGAAAATCAATGGACAAATTTTAATTGTTCAATGCAATTTCCATATACAACTAAATTAACTCTCAGCGGTGGTTTTGCTGAAAATATTCCATTATTAATTAATAGTCTTAGTAGTATTATATATTTAACACAAATTACTGAATTAATTTTAGAATATGATTATTTATTTATGAATAAACTTCTTATATTACTTCAACATATACCAAATATTAATTCATTGACTATTCCTCAAACATCTATTATTCGAACACATAATTTATCTGAAGATGAAATTGAAACAATTCGTATAATATCAAAAAAAAATCATATTAAAAATATATCTATTATTGATCGAGAATGTTGTACAGTTAAACAACTTCGTTTTCTATTTGATTTATGTCCACAAATTGAATATTTAACAATAAATCTAGCAGAAACTTTTGAAGATTTAATTATGGAATTTTTAATAACAAAAATGAAAGAAAATAATTATCGTTTCTTTTTATTATGTCTTGCTCGTTGGGATGCTAATATTGATATGATTAAAAAAATTCATTGGATTATTAATCGTCAAAAATTACTTGATAATTATTCACTTGAACTTTTTAAAGGCAATATTTATTTATGGTGTTGACTAATTTTCTTTTTATCTAATATTGCATCTCATAATAGTAAGGAATCAGTGAATATACATAAAAATAATATAAATGAAAAAAAAAGAACAGTAAATTGTTGATTATCATTTCAAGACTGGTAGTACTGAAGTGTGCATATAGTATCTTGTGAATATATGTCAAACAATGTAGCTACTCAGCCATTATGGCCTACTGTTCCTATGCACAACAGAAAGTGATTAATAGTTTTTATCTTTTTTTTTTGCTGTTGTTGAGTCTGCATAAATTGTCTTTAAAACTCATGTGAATTTGTTGATATGTATTTTTCTATTCTATAATTGAAGATTATCATTCAGTATATAAAAATAAAATTATGATTTAAATGTGTTATTTATGTCATATTTCAATTGACATATAAATAACTCATCTAAGTAGCCATCAAACTATCAAAGACAACAGGAAATTAAAGTATTAAGAAAATTGTATGAGTTTATAGTGGAACGGTGACTGAGTACAACATATTCTATCTTGATTACTCGGATTCATTGACACGCTTCTCGGAAGTTACAAGTAAAAAAAAAATAATTAAAACTGAAGTATATCATATTCTGCATGAACAAATTTTGAGAATATTTTGGCAGAATTAAACCTTTCAAATCTAAAAGTTGATTTTTTTTTAATGATAAATAGAATATTGATGAAGATTTTCTTTAGTTATTATACAAGATTATTGTAGTCATCTTCATTATTACACATAGTTCTATGAATTGATTTATATTTAGAAACATAACCATCGATTAATTCATGACAACTCATATGTGTACAGATGCATTGTATGTTTTAAAATTCTTGCAAGTGTCAATAGTGCGACAATGTTTGTACTGAAATGATTGAAAAAATAAAGTCTTCATTTAATAAAAAATTAGTATCATACTATGAAAGAAAATTTATACAAAAAGATTGTCAACGTAACTTTGTGGAAGTTAAAATGTTGAACTCATATGAGTTCTTTAATCTTATTATAGTAATACAAAAATACATAAAATAAAAAGAAAAGCTATAGTTATTTTTGAGAATAATCAATCTTATTTATTTATGTAGTTCGAACAATATTTTTTTCTATTTTTCATTTGTCTTGTTATCTTTTGCTCGGTACTTTGCATATTCCGTTTTTTTCTTGACTTAACATTATTATTTTTACTATAGATATTGATTTAATTGGCAAATAAGCTTGTTGTAGATATTGATTATATTTACAGTAGGTCTCAGTGCACTATTATAAGCTCTCAAATACTAATATTGATTTTTTTCTAAATTTATAACTTGGTCAGTTCACGTTTATTTATGTTGAATCATATATTGCTAATGTCATTCAGTGCCTTTTCTCTCAACTCTGACACCTGTTGTTCTCATTTGTTATGTAAAGATACTCAATGCTCGTTGGTCTTTCTCCTTCGCCAGTTGCTAGAGTCTCGGTACGAAAAGCCGAATTAATTTCGATTTAAACTTATACTTTCTATTTCCTTTAAAAATATATTTGAATTCTACAATATGTCATTCTTTTCAAAACGAGTATTTATATTTATTATTATTATTAATCAATGGAATAGTATCAATTCAATTGATCTTTAGAGGAAAATATTGAAAACTAAATAGTGAATAGGTTTATTTTTGATAATTTGAATAAATATTCTTTGAAACGATATTAAACATAAAAATTGAGTAATAAGAACTCAATAAAGGTGACAACAAACATTTGTAAACGAAACATAGGTAGAAATATTGAATAAGAGAATACATGTACGATATGATTTAGTTATTCTATGTTGTTTAGTTACACAAGAATTTATTTATTATTTTTCTTTCTTATCTATATAATACGTAAGCAGGAACGTTTTTTTTTTTCTTTTATCTAGTTGTACTTTATTACCACTCATCATGACTTGATATTATGCTCTTTTCACACTATATGGTTAAAAATATTGATATGTTTTTTTTTGCATATTTTAGACATTGTTTACATGAGATTTATTGAAAAACTTTATAAATGGATGAATCAATTTTAGGAGAATCAGCAGTATTAATTACTGATCATGGTGTTCCATTAGCTGTACGTGATAATCGACATCCTAATGAAAGACAACTAGCAGTGTATCTTATTCTTGCAAGTACTATTTTTGAACGTTTAGCATTTTATTCATTAGCAATTAATCTTGTTGTTACATTAAAATCTACTGAATTAAATTGGAATTCTTCAACTAGTACAACTGCTTCATTTATTTTCTTTGGTAAGTTTTAGTAAGCACACACATAATAAAAATAAAATAAACTTCTAAATGAATGAATCTAATTTATATCAATAGGTACAAGTTATATTTCAACACTTATATTTGCTCCAATAAGTGATGCAAAATTAGGTAGAGCTAAAACAATAATTATTGGTAAATTATTTGAAATTTAAAAACGAAAACAATGATTTTTTTTTTCTGTTCATTGTAGGTTTTATTCTCTATTTATTGAGTTATATAATTATAATTTTAATTGCAAATTCTGATACACATCAATCTATATGCAAAAGTACATCAGGTACACATACATCTGTATTGTCTGAACATTGTGGACCACAAATTATTGGAACACTTGTTTTTATGTGAGTCAATCTATCAATAGGTTTTACTTCTCATCATATTTTCTTTGAAAATAGGGCTATTGGTGTAGGAGCTGTTCAAGCAAATATGGCTGTATTTGGAGCCGAACAAGTTCAAGAATTCAAAGTTACATCAGGATATTTTAATAAATATTATGTAGCAGTAAACATAGGTGCAATTATTGCCATATTGTCTATTCCTATAATACAAAATGATTCAGATAATCAAATATATTCTAATAGTTATTTTTATGGATATTTAATTGCTATTTTTATGCTTTTTACTGCTGCTATATTGTTTATTATTGGTCGTCAATATTATATACATACACGTCCTCATGATACAGTCATTACGAAATATATTCCAGTTATTATAAATGCATTTCAAACATGGCGTCAATATCATAAAAATAAATCTAATATAGATAGAAATCGTACAGATTCTACTTCAAGAAATTTATTAATTGGTCATAATACAATTAGTCAAGAAGGAATAATGTCAAATGATGAACAAACACTTTCATTTCTTGATTATGCAAAAGTAACTAATAATGGAAAATGTCTTGATCGACATGTTAATGATGTCAAAACATTACAAAGATCTATAATTGTATTTCTTCTTCTTATACCATATTGGATTATTTATTATCAAGTATGATAAAATTATTTGAAAAATATTTTTATTAAATTTTTGTTTGTATATTTAATTTAAGATTCAAATAACTTTTCCTTTACAAGGTCAACAAATGAATATACCATTATTATCTAATAATAAAAAAATGCCTATTAGTTGGATGTCACTTGGTGATTCAATAACAATTATTAGTAAGTTTATTTAGAGAAAAGAAATAAATTACAAATATATTCAAATATTAGTTAGTGTTATAATTTTAACAATTTTTATTTACAAATATATGGATACACAAAATCGAACAATGACAATTAAGATAAAACTTATTATTGGTATGATTCTAGCAGCATTAACTATGTGTATTGCTGGTATAATTGAAATAATTCGACAAAAATATTGTACAAAAGGTAGATTGTGATATGTATTGATTTTATTTTCAAAAAATATTTTTCATCTTTCAGAAAGAGACAATTCAGATTTAAGTATCTATTTTCAATTACCACAAAATATATGCATGGGTCTTTCAGAAGTATTTGCTACTATAGCCAGTCTTGAATTTGCTTATTTAGCTGCTCCACAATCAGCTCAATCATTATTAATGAGTCTACAATTTTGTTCATTAGGATTATCATCATTTATTGGTAAAGCATATCTTTCTATTTATTCAACTACGTCAAGTGATTTAGATTTTAGTGTAAGTAGTTATGAGAGAAAGAAAAAAAGAATGAAATGAACATTTCTATTATGTTATATTCTTTCTATTAAATATTTTAGTGTTCAACTCTCAATCAATGGACTTTTACTACTTATTTTTTTATACTTGCTATTCTTCAAGTAGCTTTCTTGATTATTTTTGTTATATGTGAAAAAAATTTTCATATACTTAAATTAAATCCACAACAAAAATAAATGAATCACTATTGATCTTATCAACTATTTGCAAATAAATAAATATTTGTATATAGAATTTTGTTATTTTTCCTAATCTTTAAACACCAAGACCTTGATAAATTGTCATTGTATATATATATATAAACAAACACTAGAAGATCAAAACTTCTAGACACTCAAATAATTTACATATTGATCAATTAATCTTTGATAAAATACATCTATATTAACCCTAATATGATTACATTTATAGATAATCACTTGTTATCTATCTGAAGTTCATACGAACTTCAATCAGACCAACAAAGAAAAAGCAGCAACTTCGAAATATATTTATCTCGTCATCGTTTGTTGCCTAATTATTGTTTATTTTGAATATGTTTGAATTCGTTGAATGATTATTCAGCATTCGGGCTAATCACATGCAACTCTAAAAAAGACATGACTGTAACTCATATTTATGGATGCATAACATTCTAATGAATCATACTTAGACCTAGGTGTACTCTAGGTAGGTGACAAGTTCTCACATGTACTCGTGTGACGTTCTATTTGCATTAACACTCTAGACTTTATTGGTTAATGTTATCAGGATGCTCTACTAGTCTTCATTAGAGCATATCTAAAAGATAATCGATTTCACCTTATATTATATAGTTATAAAGTATGATGAAGTTGATTGAAGTCCTCACGAGCTCTAGATGATCGTATAAGGGTTATAACTAATTAAACGTTTATATTTATTCATAATGATTTTAAGTGATTACGACATTTTTTGATCAATTCATAGCATAACATCGAATATAAATAAATAATTTCTTTTCTAGTGATTTTATTCTTGATTTTTTCATTCATTTACAATTACTTTCACTATATTCAATTCTATGAAAATAAATAGATGATTTAAAGATCATAGACATGAATATCTAGTTTACAACAAGGTGAAAATGACATAATTTTAGTCGTTCGTATTTACAGTCGATGTCAACAAGAAAAAAAAGAAACACTTTCTTTCTATGACATACTTCATCTTGCACAAAAAGAATGAAATGTCAATATAAAACTAAGTTTCTTTTAGGTCAGAAATACATGCATCTTTGTGATGGTGAAGAAAGACAGAAACAAAACACAAGAAATATATTTTTTTCTTCTTCGTTATATCGAATAGTGTTATTAAAATAATAACTTTATGTGTCAAAGATAAATGCTGAAGAAATTTTTCTGTCTTATCTTATGCTCATAATGCATCATATATTACTTGTTTAATTTTACAATTTTCATTTGATAAATACTTAGATGACATTCGAATATAATTCGAATGTAAAATATGGTGAGAAGCTGCAAATGTTGATCGACAAATTGGACATAAGTAAAGAAAAGTGGTTATACTAACGTTTGTTATTGTCATCGTTTTGATCATATTGAAGCTTGAAGTTCACAAAACTTTATGTTTTTAAGTGGCTTATTGTAAGAAAATGAAACATGCGATTCCAAGTCAGAAAGCAGATAGTATTGATTCGATTATGAAATTTCAACAAGTATTTTCTGATTTCTCATTCTCGGAATCATTTTGATTGATAATTCAATATTCGTTTCATAAAATATACATCTTGATATTAGATACTATTTGACACTTCTTGTTATCGTAGCTATCCTCTTACTAACAGTAACAGCTTAGATGTACTTTATGTTAACTTATGATTATATTGAATTATTGAATAATAAATTTGAAATCAACGAAAAAAAAAATAGAATCAATAATTTTTACACACTTTTCATTGGCTAAATATCGTAAAATATAATGCAAATCAAAAAATAGCTTACTGATCATTAAAATGATTCCGATATATAATTCAATATAAAATTAAATGTAAATAATTTATATTTCTTGTTTATTTAGTTGTATAACTCTCATTCTCATCCTAAACAGTCGTTTAGAAGAGTGAATATTTGACCTAGATTAATGAAAAGTAGCTTCGTATCTTCATCAGAAGTATTACAAATACATATTTCACATCTTGCTAAGTAATGACAAAAAATAAAATTAAATGCTTTAATACGATCGAATTTCATTGCACTCGACAAGTTCCTACTGACAGATATTACTAGATAGTCCTAGAATCTGACGGAGGGACTTTGACAAAACATTCTCTATTCAATAAATCAGCAGAGAGCGTCATCTATTAATTTTTCTAAAACAAAATCACCGTACGATTTTGTTCAAATATTAGTAAGATCACCCTGATTCTGAATATAAATAAATCTTGAATAATGAGCCAACTAGAAACGTATTCTTATAAAATGAAATTAGGCATAACCATTGAAAAACAAACGCCTTCGATGTGTCAAGTCAGTAGATCATAAGACTTTTTTTTTGATATGATTCACATATCTTACCTGTCAATGTGAAACGAACGAGAAAAAAAATGCTTGAGCAGCGTGTAAAATGAAGAACAGTATTTGATTGGTTTATAATACCTATGTCACGTAAGGCACATTGCTTCGGTGTACATGTTTGTTTCATTTTCGATGATTGAATAGAGACTGTATTCAGAGAAAACAAGTACCGACAGATAGTCAATTGTATGTTAACCAATCTATTTCTTTTTACCTTTGTAGAGGATTTTATTTAGATGCACATTCTTCCGATGAAAGTATTAAAATAAAAAAATCTTTTAATGAAGAAAAAAACGAAACTTACATTTAATTGATAATTATTACTATTGTCAAATTTCAATCGAAATAACTATTTGTCAAAAAATCTTAATATACTTTTTTTTTTCTAGACTTTTAAATTGATTAATGGCCGCAAAATATCCTTCACATGATACAAACACGTATTCATTTTCCAAAGATGTAAGTACAATCGATTAATTTATTTAAAGTATTTAACAGTATGATACATAATTTCATGTAGCTTCGAATATGTCAATTATATCAACAAGATCCTCGTTTATGTCCTTCATGTTCATGTTCTAATCTTCATATATGTCGTGATTATCTATTGAATAGTAAATGTTCGAAATTGAACTCTGATGGAAAATGTTCACATTGTCATACGCTGTTTACTTTGCACAATCGACTTATTCTTGATAACTTAAAATCAGTATCACAAGATGAACAAGAATTCGATAGAGTAGCTAAATTTATTCGAGATTCAGAAGCAAATTCTTCGAAAACGGTATCAAATTATGCCGGACGACTTTCGATTTCAGATAATAGCTCTAAAGTTGCATCGACAAGTGGACAAGTAAAATTAGTTTTTCTTTTTTCTAATCAATGATATTATGCACAGTTATCTTTCAACCAAATGTAGGCATCATCATCTGAACTAACAAGTACCATCACTAGTGGACAAGATCATGCTAAACCATCATTTTCTTTATACAATAATCAATCATTACAAAGTACTCTTACCTCATTACCTGCATATAGTACTGCCAGTGGTCAATCATCAATAACAAAGGACACAAAAACTTCTATTCTTCTAAGTCCTTCGAAATCAACTGTACCGAATTCTTCAATAACAATAAAACCAAGTACAGCAGATGTTTCTTTACGTCCGAAATTTGAAATCACTAAGAATATTATAAGTTTACTTGACAACAATTCCAAGCAGCTAACAAAAACTAATCGAAAACTATCTGGTACAGCTTCCTTAGCTACATTTAAATCGAACTACGATCAGAAATTATCAGATGATGATCATTCAACATTCTTTGATGAAAGTATGTATTTTTTTAATAATTCGTCGAATGTTAAAAAAGCGTCCTTTCTATTTCAATAGAGTTCTTTTTTATTCATTAATCCATACGAAAAATGTATGAGAATATTAGGAGTTCGAGGATTCTGAAGAATAGCTTGCAAACTATTGATCTGATTCTCACAGATATTTATAAGCTTACAAAAACTCATATAAGTACTGTTTTTTTTAAAGATTTACAGACCCTTTATAGCAGTAAGAATATGTTAGTTCTATTAAACTTGTTAATCCCTTTAGAATGTCAACCTTCTTAAAAGGATTAAGAATATTAAAAGAACTAAAAAGATTGAAGAAAATAAAAGATAAAATGTTTTGGAAGTCATAGTTGCTTGAAAAGCATAAAATTAAGACAAGATAAATTCAGTTTCTCGCGGATCTATTGAGCTCATAGATAATGCAAGTATTTAAAAGTAAGAAGAACTTACAATAGGATCTGCTCAAGTGCCAAATCACTGTTTATCGGAGATGATGTTTTGATTTTCTGTACCTTTGCTCTTGAGATACCGAAATTCTATTGTGTTTTTTAACAAAAAACTGTGATTTTTCTCAGATCACATAGAAAATTGGTTTTGGATTTTCGGTTTCAAATTTTTCATAACAAAGTTCTCAATGAGATTATTTCTTTCGGCAATTTCTAACTTTCCTAATATCTTCTATTCTAATACCCAAAACGAAATAATAGAAAAGCTAAAGCTTATACAATCATTAAGGATTTTGTTCGGGCAATATTTAAAGCCGAAACAAGAACAAAAATTCAGAAAACCAAATCATTCTAGACTTTTCTATTACTCTCTAACACTCATGAAATGAACAATTTAATATTATTTCGCATTTTATTTAAAACTTGTTTCGTATACATCAAATACAATGTTTTGTAAATTTTCATATCATAGTAGTTGATTAAAATGAATAGATTTCTTTTTTAAGCTGATGAAAAATCTGATGACAATCCAATGCTTACAACAACATCTTCTCGAAATGAAAAACCTAAACGTACACATTTTCATCATAGCCTAACACTAGATGATAAAACGTCGTCTATATTCAATCCAAAAGATGAAAAAAAAATGTTGTCACAAACCAAATATGTTTTTAATAAATATGTAAAAGATACAGAAGTAAGCATATATCTCTATATAAAATATACTTTAATATATTATTTTTGATTAATAATTCATAATATAAGTCTTTATTTATCATATTTCAGTTATCATATCTTCTTGGTCCTGGAAGATATCTAATGAAAAATGAAGGATGTCAAATATTTCCATCAGGCTATTGCCTATGTACAAATGATAATGAAGAAAAAAAAATTAAGGAAAATTTAGATAAACTTTTGCATACTTCATTAAAATCAGATCCTGTACCATTTAACAATAGTGAACTTACATTGGTGGTTTGTACAAGTGCAGCAGAAAGACTTTTTGAATCAAGTAATATGAATATGATTCTAATTTATTGATAAAAAAAAGAAAAGAAAAACTTATTGAATATACATAGATCAAATACATTATGCTATAATATCTGCACCTCATACAATGTCATGTAAGTCAGTTATAACTATCAGCTGATAATAACTAAAATAACATAATCAATCATATTTCACAGTAGACTTTCGGCAGCACTTATTTATTTCAAATAGAATCTATATAGTAAATTGTTTGATCAACAGTCCTACAGTATTGGATGAAAATGAGGGCTATAGTCGCAACGAAAAAAAAACATACCTTTTCGACTATTGCTGAAAGTTCAGAATTGTAGATGCAATGGTGACGATACACTCGTCTCACATAGAACTTTGAACCAGCCTAAACATGTACGTGTAGACTAAGGATGAATACAGAGAACGCATAGCAAAATTAAGGTAATCTTAGCTTGATTTTAATTGTTTTCACTTGAGGAAACATTTTTTTAAGACAGAAGATTTTCGAAGTCTGAAAATCCAAATTCATATAGTAATTTATTGAAATTATCAAGTTCGATTTTTAGGTTCGAGAAAGATTTAGTTCTTATGATTTAGATAGATATGTTTTATAAAATTCAGTTATTCTATTGAAGAATGCTACCCACAATCCAAAGAGTTGAAATAAATTTAAGCTCATCGTCATTGTTGCATCTCGATACATGGTAATATTCATATTATCCTATAAAAAGTTCTAAGACAAGATTTCGTGACTCGACGGAAAAAGATTATTAACTCAATCTTCTCATCTACTCATGAATGTATTGATTGCAATAACACCTTATTGCTGAATTGGTTTCTAATTGTCAACTATGAATAAAACACATAAATTTGCTGTTTTTTTTACAGTTGATATTGAGATAATACATCCATCAAGAGATGATCTCACTCCAACAATGTCAGCAGCGTCCAGCAATGTGAGTGATATGTTCTATTTATTTTATATTTACAATAAAAATCAGAAAACAAATTTGCTAAATTATGAAAATTTCAAATATAATATCAACATTTTGTATAATTATAGTGTGAAAATTGTTTATTTCAGTCATATAGTATATTGAACATTGTCAACTAAAATTAAATCAAAGAAAGATTTTTGTTCAAGAATAAATTTTGAAAAATAAAGCTAAACATATATATTTTAATTAGATTATGTCTCCAAGATCACCAACTGGACAAGATCAACCATATCTGGTTTGTTTAAATCATTTTCTTTTTCTTATTTGATCATTAGTCAGTCATAAAATAATAGTTATCATCGGATGGAAAACTATATATACAAGGCACTAATTCATCGATTAGTGTGATCTCTGCTGATATTACTCAAGTTCCAGTAAATTAATTTTCTTAAGATCATATCAAATTATAATAATAAATATATATTGATTAGGTTGATATGATGGTATGTGTACATACATCGCTCACATTATTGGATAGTGTTCTTTCTCAAGCTGGTTCATCAATTGCATCAGCATATAGTCACATACAACATTCGACACAAGATATTATTCTTGAGGGTGGTAAGACGAAAGCACAAAAAATTCTTTTCGCTGGATGGAAGATAGAAGTTCAAGGATTAGATACATCCAAAGTTCAAAAGGTTAATTTCTTAATCTTGTTCGACATTACTAAAATTCTGTTTTTTTTTTGTTTTTTGGAATTAGTCATTATCAAATTTTGTTAAACGATGTATTGACTGTGCAGTTCAACAAAATATGAGATCGATTTCGTTTCCATCAGTAATCATATTTTGTTATTTCAGTTTTTATTTTAAATAAAACTGAGTTAATATTTAAGGTTGGTACTGGAAATATTGGTCTTAATCCACATCAAGTTTGTGAATCAATGATGACAGCAGCTAGTGAACGTTTACGTACATGTAAAATGGATGTATTATTTGTTATTTATCCATCAACTCAATCGAATCATGATAGATACTCTTATTCAGTAAATTTATTCTAATTAGTGTAATGTTTTCTGACTATTTCTTTATTAATCTAGATATTTCGTGCTTATTTGGATAATCTTTGTCAACAAAACGGATCAAAAAATTTTGACACATCGTCAGCAACTCATGTTTCACATACAAGATCAGTTGCAATTAAACGAAGTCAAAATATTCATCGAACTTTAACATGTAAGCAGATCCGTTAGCTTTTCCTACATTACATGTATGGTGGTATATAACATTTAAGATCTTTTTCCTTTTTCGTTGTATACGATGAAGTATTTATGATTAAAAATTCGTACTGAATATAGAGAAAACATTGAGAGCGCGATCGCCTTTTTCTTCCGAACTATTTTTTTTGATTCATCTCAAAAGCAAATGCCCAAAAAATTAGTTGATAATACTTCTAATTGAATATCAATATACACTTTTTGACTATGATCGCCCTTCATTGCTTCATTAGAAGACGCGATTTTGACTAAAATCTAACGTTTTCGTAAGAGTTAAAAAGTATCCATACAGTGAAATATAAAAACAAATCAAGTAGAAGAACCACGGTGTGCACGACATGAGCACTTATATGAGGAAATTTGTTTAACCGATCAATTGTTTTTTAATAAACTCTATTGAAATTATGAGTTATCAATGATGATGATTGCGAATATGATCATGCAAAATCTACTTAGTTCTTCATATGCTAGTTTTCGAGATTAACAAACTTTTTTTTATCTGTTCAGATTATAAAGCATATCGAATTGTTTGTAAAATTAATTCAATTGAAAACGTTCTCTAACTGTCAGAAAATGATGTTCGTATTGTTGCATTGACTACATAGGCTTTTGTTATTAATTGATTTATGAAATAAATTTATCTTCTATCTAGTGTCATATCTCGGTTTCCTTCATATGTGATATAAATTCGATAATATATCTTATTTTATATTAAAACAAACTATTTATCTTTAGGTAAACATATATTGATTGTATCGAATTTGCCAAATATTGTTGAACATCAAAAACTATTGGAGAAATCATTAAAAGGACTAATCAAAGAATACATATATGATCTTTCTCTTGTTCGAAGACCATTAGTCGATCGAGTATTTATCTTATTTTAGTTTATAAAATGATTTGTTTTCTTTTTTACTTTAATTAAAAAAGATCGAACAATTAATTGATATATGTCTCATGTATCATGTATTACCATGTATTGATTTTTCTAAAAATAAATTAATACTTCATGGTGATCGTGAATCATGTTTACAATGTTTTGATAATCTTCGACCAGATAGATTAATTTATGAATATTATATTTATAATAATGGAAAAAAATTCAAGGAAATTAAAATGAATACATATGAATCAATGAAAATTGATGAAGCTCTTTCTGTTGGTGAAGCAAAAGTAAAATATTTTATTTGCTGATTTTATCTTAAAAATATTAGTTTTCAATTTAAATTAGATTCATATTGAACATGATAATAATACTAGATTTGATATTGATTTAAGAACTTCACAAGTACAAATCTATGGTGATACAAAACCTGCTCAACTTCATAGAACACTATTGAATGGTAAAAGAATAAATATTGATTCATAAGTGCATTTAAACTTTGAATATTTTATTTTAGAAGATTCTAAAATTGTTCGTCCATTGACATGGTCGCCTACATTTTTGAAGATTCAAATGTTCCCAGTCTCAAATCATGTGTTTAATTCCATTGAATGTGTTCGTATGTTTCAACAATCCATGCCAACACATGAATGGTGTATCGAACGAGTATGATAAACATTTATTAAATCATTATTTGAACAAAAAAATTTTTTTTTAAATAAAAGGTTGATACTATTCAAAATTGGCCATTATACGTTCATTATGCTAAGAAACAATATAAACATAGTACATTAGTTTTTTATGGATGTCCATTTTCATCTGTTCAATCAATAATTCATTATGGTTTATATTCCAATGATGGTTTGTTATTTTTATATTTTTTATCAATAAAAATCTTGTTTGTAATTTAGGTAAAGAACAAAGTATGATTCGTTTAACTTCTATAGCATTGAATAGTCATATATATAATGCACGTCGTTCAACAGATAGAAAATATTATATGTTTGCTGTTCAATTATCATCAAAAAAAAGTGTTGATATGAAACTTTTATATCTATCTAATGAGGATGCTCATTTAGCATTACCAACACATTTGATTGTATATGAACGAAACGAAAAAAAATAATAATTTTGTTTTTTGTTTGTGCTTCGTAAGTTTGATGATTTTTTTTTTACATATGTTATCTTTTTTATGATCATAAATAAAATGCGAAATGGTGGGTATATTTTACAACACGCATTACTCGTAAATATATGGTGAAAGGAAAGTTGCATTACTTGTGTTTGATGATGTTCTATTTTTAAAAGCTTTTCTACTATGAAATAACAAGAGAATTAGCCGAATTGTAATTTTCCGTTTGAACTCATATTTGAATCCAGAAAATGACCTTGATTAGATTGGAAATAACTTACAATGGTTCGTGCCAATCTGCATCGTGAACCGAGTTACGACAGTTTTACTAAATGTTCGACTAGACATTCAGCTCGTAGATAGATCTAATGATTCCTGAAATATCGTGAAAGTTTCCACAGATAAGAATGTTCAAGTAAACTCAATTTTTGCGACAAGCGAATATTTATTGGAAATTTAATAACTCGACAAAAGACAATTCTTTTTGGCTGGAACATTCAGAATATCAATTGAAGGAGACCAATGAAACGAGTAAGAATCCATGTTTTAGTCAGATTCATTTCTAAACCGGTGTATTTTTGTCTATTGTGCTGAACTGTTTAATTAGGCGCCTACAGCAACTTTGTTTTCGTACGTTACTAACCAAATCTGTCAACGGGCCACATTTTCCTGGTCTGGTTCAGAATTCCTGAAGGCTAACCTAAGTAGATTATATGTTTCTGATTTTTCGCATACTATTTTATAAGTAAAGCCTTTAGATCTAATACGTAGTAATTATGTCTAATTCGTGAAAACCTGCATTTTTTTTCTATTTTACTCTTAGATTCTTTGCATATGTATGTTGTTAAATAATAATGAGGAAAAAGAAATGATAATTTTTGGATTTGGAATCTAAAAATAAAACACTTATTTATTTTTAATAAATCTCTGTTGTATTTTTAT